GTCATGAGTACATTTCCTATTGAGCATGGTTGCCTCCTCCTTTGTTTTCCCCCTCCCATCCCTTCCTTCCCCAACTATCCCTCCCCACCGAAGTTGTAAAGTTCATTTCAACATAGTGTTTTGTACATCTCACTGTTACAATGGGTCAACCTGTATCCTTATTTCAGCATTTTGTTTTTTTTCCTTCCCCTCCCCAAATTAGAGAAATATATATACAATATTCAGGACACCAACATCAAATACAGTGAAAACAGGGGTACTATCGTGGGGTGAGGACATACAAAGAAACAAAAAAAAATCACATGGTACATTATAAATACATTTCGCTTAACATCATCTTATATGGTCATATATATATATATAGCTTTTGGCCTTTTCTGCTTGTTCTATACATGTACTAGTTATTGCAAATAAGGGAAACCATGGGGCCTGTGTTTCTTTGGGTCTGGCTTACTTCACTTAATATAATTTTTTCCGAGTCTTTCCATTTCCTAACAAATGGAGTTATGCCATTCTTTCTGGTGGAGGCATAGAATTTCATTGTGTATATATACCACATTTTCTTGATCCATTCATCTACTGAAGGGCATCTGGGTTGGTTCCATATCTTAGCTATGGTAAATAATGCAGTGATAAACATAGTTGTGCTGGTAGCCTTAGTAAGGCCTTGTTTGTGATCGTTTGGGTAAATGTCCAAAAGTGGGATTGCTGGGTCATAGGGGAGCTCTATGTGCAGTCTTTTGAGGAACCTCCATACTGCTTTCCAAAGTGGTTGAACAAGTTTACACTTCCACCAACAATGCAGTTGGTTCCCTTCTGTCCACATCCCCTCCAGCATCTGTTGTGATTAGAGTTCTTTTGTGTTATTGTTATTTTGTTTTTGATATAGAGTCTCACTAACTTTGTGCCTAGGCTTCTCAAACACATCATGTGCCTGCCTTTACTGCCCTAGTAACTGAGGATACAAGCATGTGCCACACAACTTGTTTTTTTGTTATTATTTTTGTTTTTTGAAGTAAGATCTTAATATGTTAGCGAGGCTGGTCTTGAACTCATAGCTCAAGTTATTGTCTTGCTTTAGTCTTCTGAGTAGCTGAGAGTACAGGAATATGCCCACTGTGTTTGCCTTATTACTTGCTTTTCTTAAGGCTAACTTTTAAAAATTTTAACAAGAGACTTAAAAGTTTTCTACAAAGAAATTAAAGACTGCAGACAATACTAATATTGTGGCACATGCCTGTAATCTCAGCTGTGTTCAGAGAACTGCTATTTCAGACCAAATTTACTAAGCTCACTGATAAGAAGTCAGAGGCTCCTTGAAGTTTTCTTACGTTACAGCAGAGGGGAGAAGCATCATTCTTTTTGTTTCTGTGGTGATCAAATGCCATTCAACCCACAGGACAACACATTAAAACAGTCATTTAGCCAGGTGCCATTGGCTCAGGCTTGCAATCCAAGATACTCATGTTATTTTGTTTTCTGAGATAATAGATGACAGTATCTGCTACTCGAAAAAACCACCCAGATCCACTGAGTTGAAAGTGACTTTCTAATGATGAGTGAGAAAGTGATGTTATGCAAAAAATTTATACATGAAGGGAACTGATTGAAAACAGATCTTAGAAAGGTTCCCATTGTTACATGACTCCTAGAGGAGACAAGAATGACAAAAAATCTAGGCATTGGTGGCTCATGCCCATAATCATAGCTACATAGGAAGCTTAGATTGGTGAACTATGGCTCAAAGCCACCAAGGGCAGAAAAGTCCATGAGACTCCATTTCCAATTAACCAGAAAAAAGCTGGACTGGAGTCATTACTCAAATAGTGATAGAGCACTGGCTATGAGCACCAAAGCTGAGCAAGAGAGAATCCCTTGAGTTCAAACTCCAAAATGGCAAGAGAGAGACAGGGGGTAGGAGGGAGGGAGAAAAGAAGGGAAGTAGGAGGAAGAGGAGGAGGAAGAGAGAGATGTTTTTCAAAGAAGGAAATCAGGTGATGAAAGATATTACACTTCTAGTGTCAAAGATGGAAAAAGGAGTCAGGAAAAGGAGCCAGGAAGGCAAAGAATACATCCTTACAATTCAACAATATATTGTAGAATTAGGTATGAAGCTATCCAAGGGATATAGTCACAGGAATCTCTTTAAAGGGTCTTATAATTAGCCCCTGGGACCTGGAAGTAGAAAATCTTGCCTTATGGAAACAGGCTTAGAATTAAGTGGAGTGACCTCTTTGACACAGCTGTAGTAGAACACACTGAAGACTGAGGAATCCTGGTTCATTCAGTTTGGGCCTGCAGAATGGCCTGCTACTGGAAGCTAGGATCTGCTGAGAATGACATAGCTTGGATCCTGACCCACCTATATCCTATGTGGAAAATGACTGCTCTACATTTCCACTTTTTCCCTTGTAAAATGGAGGTGACTCGAGTGCTTACCTTCTAGCGTTATCCAATTAAACAAATGAATTTGTTCATTCAATGTGATGCTCCACAGACAACGACTGTTGAGATACCATTCACCACTCATGACCCTGGATGGTGAGAATGTGTGGAGGCACCTTAAACCACTGAGAAATTCTGCTGAGAAAGAACCAAGACCAATTTTGCAGAACCTTCCAGGCTGGGTTACTGTCCTGGAGAGCCTAAAACCCTGAATGGGGGATGTGGTTGGGAGACAGCAAGGCCTGGAGGTCTGGGGTGATGATCTCCATTCACATTTTTTTCAGGAAGCGAAGAAAGTCAAGTACTAGAATGTCCTTTACTGAGTGAAAACTTGAATTTCCTGGATCCTCCTTCTGGGTGGAGAATATCTGAGTCATCCATCTAGAATTTGTATGTATGTGTGTGTGTGTGTGTGTGTGTGTGTGTGTGTGTGTGTGTGTGTGTGTGTACGTGTCAGAATTGAAGCTTGAACTCAGAGCCTACACACCCTCTGTTAGTTCTTTTGTTCAAGGCTAGCACTATACCACTTGAGTCACACCTTCACTTCTGGCTTTTTCTTGCTTAGAGATAAGAGTCTCACAGACTTTTCTGTTCAGGCTGGCTTTGAACCTTGATCCTCAGATCTCAGGCTCTTGAATAGTAGCTTGGATTACAAATATGTGCTACCAGTGCCCAGCATTACTTTGAATAAGCTGAGAAGAAAGCTGGTATTGTCCAAAAATGTAAATGTTGGCCTTTTTAAACACCAGAATTGATTTTTGAAAAAGGAGATGAGATGGTATTTCGGCATGAAATAAAATTTCCCGCAATGTATAAAACTGGAACTATAATACTGCCCCAAAAGGGTAATGAATGGCTGGGCTCTGGTCTGACCAGGTAGGAAGTGTAGTGGGAAAAGAGGCCACAGGCTTTATTGGAGACAGCCCCTCAGTTCAGAGCTGTGCTCTTTTTTTCATAATATCACTGAACTTTGGATGGCCAAAAGTTCACTTTACACAGTGTTCATCTTGTGACCCATCAGTCTGTTTTCACATATAGAGAGAGCATGGTATAGGAAGACAGTGGTGTCTGTCATCTTTCTTGGTAATCTAGTGGTTTCATTTATATGGGAGCTATCTCCCATGAGCCTTTGCTCCCAAGTCCTCATGAGGCCATCATTAGCAGTTCTTACTGACCTGTCAAGGCCATTTCTATAGCTTCAGAGAGGATCCAGAGGTACTTGTGAAATGTTGGTTCTGCAGCTCATGTCACTCAACGCTTGCTTCTTGTCACCCATCTCCAATGCAATGGAGACCTCTCTGTTCTTTGTACTCACTAAAGAATGTCTTCGGTATGCTCCAAACCTTCTGGACACTTCTCTAAGTCCTGAAGATTCCCTAGTAATAGATGAGGTTGAGAAGTAAGAGGTTTCAATGGATTTTCTATAACCTCTTTGGTGCCTTTAGTTTGTGTTCCTTAGAAATCATGTTTGATCATCTATGTACTTCCTCCTTATTGAACTCCCCAAATAAATAACCCTGGTTTTGATGTGAGAAAGCTTTTACTGTCCAAATACATGCAATCAAATACACATACTATACCATACCCTGTGTGTACCTTGTTCTCAACAGCTCTGGAAAGATACTAACTTATGTCACATTTCCAGGTCAGTACAGAATAATGATAATTTTGTCAATCTTAATTCTCAAACTGTTTCATTTTGCTTTAAATCATATCATATTTCATGCCTATAAATACTTAGCCTGGTTTACAGAAAATGATACTGCCAATGGAAGGAAATGAAGAGAATCTTGAAGAAAGTGGAATTAGAGTCAATTACACAGTTGTGAAGTGATGATGTTCTGACATTTGACAAACCACATCAAGTAAGGGAAGAGCTAGAAAGGGCATTGACTCTTTTTGGAGCATTTTAGACATCAGAGTTTGGGGCTGGAACTATTTTATTTGTATATGCAATCCAAATTTAGCTGAGTATCCTGAAGTTTAGGTGATAATGCTAACCCAGTCAAAGTATTTCCAAACTTTTGGAAGACAGTATTTCATTTGTTTTTCCCCCATCCCTGCTACCATATAAGAGTGCCACTAGTTTTTACCATATTCTATGACATGAAACCAGTTGCTCTAGTCATAAGTGAAACTGGAGGAGAGGAGGTCTGTTTCCAAGATAATGCTTTTGTTGCCATTTTTATTTTCAACTGCATGATTCAAATTGACATTAATATGGGCTTGTTCCACAATAGAATAAATTACTTGTTTTTTTCTGGACATAAGGCATTTTATAGATGATAATTAAATGGCATGAACTAGTTCATTTTTCATGATTTGGCAATCCTCATTTCTTGGAATGAATTGATAGAGAAGTTGCTTTACAAAATTAATTTTCATATCCATAGGAACCCTATATTTCCTATAAAAAAAGCTTTTATTCAAAAAAGAAACAAGACCAGGAAGGAAATATTAGTTCTGTTGTGATGGTTGTCATGAAGAAGTATTTCGTCTGCATCAGATGAAATATCAATGAAAATAAAACAGTTTGCTTCTTTCTTGCCGCTCAGGTTCTGCGCCTTTCTTGATTTTCTCCCATGGAAATGGCATCTTTAGGATTGATACGGAAGGAACGAATCACAAGCAGTTGGTGGTGGATGCTGGCACCTCCGTGATCATGGATTTTCACTACCAGAAGGAAAGAATCTATTGGGTGGATTTAGAAAGACAACTCTTGCAAAGAGTTTTTATGAATGGGTCAAAGCAGGAGGTAAAATACCATTACCCTGGTCTTTGAGGAATTTATGTATAGGCTGACAAATACAGAATATTGAATTCTCTATACAGATTATGTTCCAAATGTGTGTCTCTATCAAATGTAGGCATTTAATTTGCATCTGTGGAATTATATGATTAACTAAGCTCACAAATTGGTATTTAGGAGGCCTCCCAAAGGTGAATATGAGAGCATCAACTTAATTTTGGAAATAATGGAAGTTGTTATCTTAGTTATGATTAAAACAGATTAATGGGTCCTGGGGCTTGAACTCAGGGCCTGGGCACTGTGCCTGAGCTAGTGCTCAAAGCTAGTACTCTACCACTTGAGCCATGGCTCTACTTCTAACTTTTTGTTAGCTAACTGGAGATAAGATTCTCACAGATTTTCCTTCCCCAGGCTAGCTTTGAACCAGGATCCTCAGATCTCAGCTTCCTTAGTAGCTTAGGATTTTACACCTGAGCCACCAGCGCCTAGTGCATGAATATCTTAAGCAATTTTGCCTTCAGAGGATACTTGAAAACATCTGGAAACATTTATAGTTGTCACAACCAGTGACATAGGACAAGGGAGGCAGTAAGGACATCTGTGAATAAAGACAAGAGTATTGTTAAGCACCTTCCAAAATGCAGAGTAGCCCCAGATGAAGAACTACTCAGCTCAAAGTACCAATAGTGCTGAGATTGAAAAACCTTGTTTGATCTGTATAAAAATCTCTATCATTTAGGGAAAAAAATTATATAACATTTAGGAAGAACTTTTTTTTCTTTTTTATCCTCAAGGAGTTTGTACTAAGGGAATCAAAATGAAATAGAGGGCAGATATAAAGTATTATACTTCAAACACATACAGAAGACCTATAATCTTTCTTTTCAATTAGTAGAATCCTTAAATGGGTCCCATGAGGAATCTCTCAGTACTTTGGAGCTGGATTACAGGGAGCAAATGATTAGGGGACTTTGTGTTTATTCCTAATGCAGAATTATCACTTTAAAAAAATAAAACCAAATCTTTCTTCCTATCATTATTCTTAAAACCTTCAATCAGGTACTAATACATTTGATCACATCCCTAATACTTGCTAATCTCACATTTGACAAGTATGGCTACTCATTATTCTCCAGCCATTTAGTAGCACAGTTTCAAAATCTTGAGCCTAAGAATCTAGAGGCTTTATGTCATAGAACAAGAAAAAAAGAAAGAAAGAAAAGAAACTGTTTTGAATTAATGTCAAGGAGTTAGGAATGGATTGGCTTTATACTGAAATTCTACCATTATATTCTTTTATCTTAAAATCTTGTCTACAAAGGAAAACTTGAAAATGCCAATTATTTACCTGTGAGAGTGGATATATAAGTCTATTGGCAATTGTTAAAATGGATTGGCTGAATTACTTTAAGATGTTGACTTAGCCTAGGGCCTGGAACTGTGCTATCTCTGACTAAGCCTAAGTTCAGAGTCATCCCGCAAAGAACTGAGACTCTCTGTACATGAAGGTTGTCATGGATACAAATCAGGGCTTGACCCTCCAGCCCCATGAGTACTGCCTGAGCTGTCCACAACAGCCATCCAAGATTGAGAGGCCTCTAGTTATTTCCATCATGACAGAGCCTTAGGCATGTAAAGAGAAGCCCTGTATCTCTGATCATGGTCTTGTGTTCCCTAAGATCTGTAGGAGAGGAGGGGTCTGATGGAGGAGGAGGGAGCAGAAGAAAACTGGGGCACCATCAAGGAAATTTCCACTTCAAAGTTCTATGCTCAGACTCCAAGGAAGTCTTGCTAGGGTTTGGCAAAGGTTGGGATTGGGTTCAGATAATGTAATCTGAAAGATTACACTAACAAGTGGAACTAAATAAACTGTCTTTAAGCAGTTATTATAGTTAAATTTATTAATACGTTATGGTTGATTGCTTAATTGAGTCATTATGGGAACATTTTCAGTTCCAAAGCCACGATATAAATAGAATGCCTGGAGGCCTTTACATGGGTGGGGGTGGAAATATTTTTGCCAACATTGAAACAGAGGTACTTTATCTGTCACCATGTTATCACTTAAATGATTTGGGGAAATTCGTAAAAATGACAAGGACTTAGAAGAATAGACTTTTAAATTTACAATGACAAGAACAATTTTGTTATAAGTCAGGAAACATTCATAATAGTTCTGAAATGTTTTTTTTTCAGGTAGTGTGCCATATAGAGAAAAATGTTTCAGGAATGGCAATCAATTGGATAAATGAGGAATTGATCTGGTTCAGTCAACAGGAAGGCATCATCAGAGTAACAGATATGGAAGGAAACAATTCTCGAGTACTTGTAAACACCTCACATTATCCTGCAGACATAGCAGTTGATCCAGTAAAAAGGTAAAGTCTGCTGTTTTCAGATGATAAAATATATTTTAGAGTTAATTAAGATTCCTGGAATCATAACACTTAAAAGGAAAGGACCTTCTCTGTCACACCAAGGCCCTCTCTTCCAACACAAACACACAAACACCATTTCCAGTGGGGCAATTGCCTGGATTTTGAACTCTACAAACGCTCCTAGCTGCTCCTAGTTTTCTGCTAGAGAGCAGAATTCTCTCTCACGGGAATCTCTTCAATCTCATGGTGGTTCCATAATAGGCAATATGTGCATGTTGAATGGAGTTCTCATTTAGAATAGTTGAACTGGTCTTGTGCATGAGTCAGAGTCTGATGAAATAGCGAGTCTACCTTTGGGTGGCATCTGTTCAAAATTATGGGTCTATGTGATGTGTTTGCCCAGGTTTATATTTTGGTCTTCAGAGGTAGCTGGTAGCCTTCACAGAGCAGATTTGGGCTGTGTGGAAGTGAAGACCCTGCTACAGACACCAGGGAAAATAACAGCCTTGTCGTTAGATGTGCTGGAGAAACGGATCTTTTGGATTCAGAGAAAGAGAGAAGGCAGTAGTTCTCATATTTGGTCCTGTGATTATGACGGAGGCTCAATCCATCTTCTTACACAGCAAACAAGGTAGGTTTGGCTCATGGCATAACAATGGTCACTCAAAGTTTATGTAATGAATTGTTACTTTTGTTCACTAAACTGCTGTAGTAGTTTAGCACATGGATTTTTTTTTTGGAGGAATGGGTCCAAAACAGATTTACCCAATTATTGGATGATGACTTTGGGTAGTTTATGTAACTTTCTTATCTGTAGTTTTCTGTAACACATTTGCCACATTATGGTTGGTAACTTTTCTCATTTTTAGGTTTCCTTCATGTGGGAATAATAATTCCTGCTTCTTAGTATCATTGTGAAGATTAAGTAGATAAATGCAAGTAAAACTAATTAGGAGAGTAACTGGCATAGCCAGGCCCAAAGAAATATAGGTCCCGTGATTTCCCTTATTTGCAATAACTAGTATATGTCTGAGACAAGCAGAAAAGGTCAGATCAGATCATGTTAGGCAAAATGAACCCCAAGATAGGACACAAGTGGTTTTTTCTTTCTTGCTATTGTTTCTAATGTATTTATAGGGTGATTTTTGTGTTGCTTTGTGTGTCCCTCCCCCCAGGGTATAACCTCTGTTTTCACTGTATTTTATGTTGGTATAATTTGGGGAGGGGAAGGGAAAAAACAAATTGTTTAAATAGGGATACAGGTGGACCCATTGCAACAATGAGATATACAAGACATTATATTGAAAAACAAACTTTACAACTTTGGCGGGGGTTGGGGGAGGGAGTGTAGTCATGGAGGTGGGAGGGCAGGGATGGTAGAGGAAAACAAAGGAGGAGGCAACAATGCTTGATAAGAAATGTACTCATTACCTTGCTCATGTCATTGTAACCCCTCTGTACAGTATTTTCACAATAAAAAACTTATTTAAAAAAGTAAGTTCTGCGGGGCGCTGGTGGCTCACGCCTGTAATCCTAGCTACTCAGGAGGCTGAGATCTGAGGATCGCGGTTCAAAGCCAGCCCGGGCAGGAGAGACCGTGAGACTCCTATCTCCAATAAACCACCAGAAAACCGGAAGTGGCGCTGTAGCTCAAGTGGTAGAGCGCTCGCCTTGAGCTGAAGAGCTGAGGGACAGCGCTCAGGCCCAGAGTTCAAACCCCACGACCGACCAAAAAAAAAAAAGTAAGTTCTTGCATATTGGCAGTGCTATTCTTTGGGAATCATTTTATCATGTATTCTGTGAAACGTCTTGCATTTGACTTGCTGTGTTGTCTAGCTTGAGAGAGAAGCAAAACATAACCACGTGTGCAACTAACAAAATCAGAAGTTACTTGTATCCTATTCTTTCTCTCCCTCCCTCCCTCCCTCCCTCTTTCCCTCCCTCCCTCCCTCCTTCCCTCCTTCCTTCCTTCCTTCCTTCTTTCCTTCCTTCCTTCCTTCTGTTGTAAGGTGCAATTATTCCAGAAGCCACATTTTGGAAGATAGAATATTGGAGTCTTTATTATACAGTTAACAGGCTGCAGGCAGCCAGTTGTTACAAAGACCTGGAGCCCCCAAATATACTTAACACAGCTAGGAAACAGCTAGAGAGAAAGAAAGAACAGAAACAATACCAACAAACCAATTCAACTCCTGTGGAGAGTTGAATTGGGACGCCATGATGACCGGAGATGAGCTAGGAGCCAGGAGACATGATCACAGAGACACATATGGTATGGCTTACGGGCATCTGGGCTGGTCCAGGCCTAAATAGGGTTCAAACAGGGGGCAGATCCACAGGAAATACCCAGTCACAGGCACTGAACTGACAGATTCAGTAACTTACCAGCCAAGTGTCCATCCTTGTCTCCAGGCATCTGGGCACACCCATCACCTGGGGGGCAGGTGATGGGTGGGGGAGTTTCCTTCCTCCAGCATGAAGATGCCAGATCCTACCATCCACCCATATGGTGCCAGCCAGACCTGACCTCCTTCCCCTCCCTCTCTTCCTTCCTTCCTTCTTTCCTTCCTTCCTTCCTTCCGTCCTTTGCTACAGTGTCTCAAGTTACAGCTGGTGCTGCATCACTTGGGCCATGCCTCCAGTTCAGAATTTTGTTTGTTAATTCGAAATGGGATCTTGCAGAATTTTCTGCTTTGGCTAATTTTGAATTCCAGTCCTTACAGCTCAGTCTCCCAAATAGCTGGGATTATGAGCCACCAGCACAGAAGAATGTAAAGGGATCTCAAACTAAAAACTATATTCTGCAGGCACTGGTGCCTCATGCCTGTAAATCCTAGCTACTCAGGAGGCTGAGATCGAGGATCACATTTCAAAGCCAGCCAGGGCAGAAAAGTCCCAGTGAGACTTTTCTCTCCAATTAACTACTCAAAAAACAGAAATGGGGCTGGGAAGGTGGCTCAGTGGTACAATGCTTGCCTTGCATGCATGAGGCCTGGGTTCGATTCCTCAGCACCACATAAGCAAAAAGAAAAAAGCCAGAAGTGATGCCGTGGCTCAAGTGGTAGAGCACTATCCTTGAGCTGAAGAGCTGAGGGACAGCACCCAGGCCCAGAGTTCAGGCCTCACAACCAGATCCCCCCCCCAAAACAAAACAAAACAAAACAAAAAACAGAAATGGTGCTATGGCTCAAGTGGTAGAGCACTAGCCTTGCACTCAAAAAGGTTCAGGGACAGCACCCAGGCCATGAGTTCAAGCCCTATAACTGATCAACAATACAAAACAGAACACCTGTATTCTGTGATTTCACACTATAAAGAAATAAATAAATAAATTTAATATACTTTCCTAAGTTTCAATGATAAAAAAATTGAAAAGACAAATCCAGACAAAGCCAGGCACTGGTGGCTCACACCTGCAATCCTAGCTACTCAGGAGGATGGGATCTGAGGATCACCATTCAAAGCTAGCCTGGTCAGGAAACTTTGTGAAACTCTTACTCCAATGAACCACCAGAAAACCAGAAATGGAATTATGGTATTAGCCTTGAGCAAAAGAGCTCAGGAACAATGCCCAGGCCCTGAGTACAAAAAACTCAAAAGAAAATAAAGTGAAACTTTAATAATCCAAGGAACCAATGTCAGCCATTCTTGATTCCTCTTCTGACTGTTTTCAGGCACCATTTGTTGGCTATGTCCCTTTTTGGTGACCGTATCTTCTACTCAACACTGAAAAGGGAGACAATCTGGATAGCCAACAAACACACTGGGAAGGATATGGTTAGAATGAACTTCAACGCATCCATTGAAGCACCCAGTGAACTTCAAGTAGTGCATCCCCTTGTACAGCCCAGCATGGACGGTGGTGCTCGGGACTCTGGTGAGTCACTTTGTGCCTCCAATAGGGTCTGGCATATAGGCATTACTTGCATACTTGATGCTTAGATTGTCTACTTGTTCAAGCCAGATGCTTAGCAATTGCAAGGGAAGAAAAATACTGTGTGTATGTGGTGTGTGTGGGGGAGGGGGAGGGCCCTGGCACTGTGGCTTGAACTCAAGACCTGGCACTGTCCCTTAGCTTTTTCACTCAAGGCCAGTACTCCACCTCTTGAACCACAGCTCTATATGTGGCTTTTATGGGTTAATTAGAGATAAGAATCTCATGGAGTTTTCTGGCTTCAAATCGCAATACTCAGATCTCAGCCTCCTGAGTAGCTAGGATTACAGGCATGAGCCATTGGTGCCCAGCTTGTTTTCCTTTTGTTGATAGATAACTTTCATCATATCCTCAATGGGTCTGCTACCCTCCAAATGTAGAGGCTGGGTAGTTCCTTTTTTTTTTTTTTTTTTGGGTCCGGTCATGGAGTCTGAACTCTGGGCCTGGGCGCTGTCCCTCAGCTCTTCAGCTCAAGGCTAGCGCTCTACCACTTGAGCCACAGCGCCACTTCCGGCTTTTTTCATTTTGCTTATGTGGTGCTGAGGAATCGAACCCAGGGCCTCAGGCATGCAAGGCAAGCGCTCTACCACTGAGCCACCTTCCCAGCCCCTGGGTAGTTCCTTGCTGCATGTTATTCTCATAATTCCAGTTCATTTGGCAAGAAGTACTTGGGGGTTTTTAAGGTATCAGTACTAAAGCAACTTCAATGAAAGTATGACAAAAGATAACTTCGTTGGTTTTATTTTTGTTATAAAATACAAGTACAAACATACACAAAAACATTCAAAAACATATTTCTCCTCGAGATATGCCTAAACTTTTATTTATCCAACATGTTCTATAAATCTCTACTTCTACAGGATTTAATAAAACTATTTGGGGAGAAGCCGTTTCAAGGTCAAGTGGTTTAGAGACGCTGATTCCAGTAAGTTGTTTGCAGGCTGCTTTGTTGTCAAGTGGGATTTCTCATATGGTTAAGTGCATTGTTCCTCTTGAAGGGCCATTCATCCTGTGGTGTTTTTCTAGTTTCTATGCAGCAGTCCATGTGACTTAGTCTATTATTTCTAGCTCTTCTTTGAGCTCTTAGAACAAGTGGAAGAAGAACTCAGATATACTGATTAGTTGCAAAGATCTTCTTCAGGGAAAAGCTACGGAAAAGTAGACTTAAAAGCCTGGAGATCTATTCATAGTGTGCAATATAGAACAGCCCCAGGAAGACCGGTCAATGCACTGATGCTGCTAAATAAAAAGCCACAGAGCTTTTCAAAGAAGATGGTTTGATGGCTTATACAAGTCTTTAGTTTGTGGATTTGGGTTGGCTGATTTTACTTTTTTATTTAAAATAATAGGCAAGTTTATGAAGAAAGGAATATACTTTCAACAGAGTGGAAGAAAGTCAGCCCCTGATTTTTAAAGGGGCAAAGATGGAGAAGAATATCAACAAGTTAGGTTCTGTCTTAGTGGATTTTAAAAAATTGTACTTATGATTCCAGTAACACAGAATGGCCATTTTTGTATTTTCTCTCTTGCATATTTATTAAGACAGAAGAATAAACTTCTATCCTGAATATTTTGGCAACTTTTTTTTGAAGAAGTTGAAGCAGTCTATTCCATTCTATTGAGAATTCACTAAAGAAAAAGATAATTAACACACAAAGCCAAACTATAACAAGATTTTATACAAATTCCGAAAAGCTCATAGTAATACTACATGTACACATATTAAATATATTTATATTTATTTTGTATATATTAAATATTATATACACAAATAAATTGTGTACATGTTAAATATACATATATATGTGTATATATTTGTTTAATGTATATATTAAATATAAATATATACACACATTAAATCTGCATGTACACAAGTACATGTACATACATGCACACCTACCCCATATACATTCAATAAGGAGATGAATCCAGCGATCAAAAGGCTTGAGCTTTAGTCTCAGTCTTAATCTCTTGCTGCCTGTGTTGTCCTTTCCCTCAGAAGCATTTCCTAATCTGTATAATGGAAAATAATTGTTCTGCATAGCCCAAGAGATTGTTAAGAAAATTAAACGTGATCCTGTGAATGCTTCATAAAGCAACATTTTATTTTTGTTTATTATTATTGCTAGGTGCTAAATGTTGGGGATGGCAAATATTTAGTTTTTGAGAATGATTAGAGAGAATGTATTTGGATGAAAGAGACTGGCCAGGCCTTGTGGATGAGATGATATCATTTGAGGCAGAAGAGAAAGATGTGCTAGGGTCCAGCTGGCTAGATAATGCCATATATTCTGCTTCAGAACTGGGCAGGGTGGAGTCCACAGAAATCTCAGGAGGGTGGCAGGTCCATCAGGCAGCCCTTGAAGGGCCACTGGCTGCAAAGGCTAACCTCCATGATTAGGAGCTTTAGTTGATCTCAAAGGTAATTAGCCGCTGTGTGTGGCTCTGAGAAGCCGTGTCAACTGAGGCCAGCAGCGGCATCCTGAGCGCTTGCTTTGGCCTAGTTTGAAGCTAAAGATCTAAAGATCAGCAGAAGATTAATTAATCTTCTGGGTTTGATCATTTCCTAAAATGACCTTTCATAGTGCCTGAATTCAGGTCACATTATCATCACAGCCACAGAGAGGAGAATAGCAACTGCTCTGGGCCTATGTCTGTCACTGAAGAGTGATGGTTATTATTAGGTATCATTAAAATCAGCAGCAGCACGGGAGAGTGGAAGAGCTAGCCCAGGCTGACATTTTATTTGAGTTCTATCTTTAAAGCTGACTAGAGGACTGGGAATGTGGCTTAGGGGTAGAGTGCTTGCCTACCATGCACGAAGCCAAGGGTTTGATTCCTCAGTACCACACAAAGGGGAAAAAAAGGAAGTGGCATTGTGGCTCAAGTGGTAGAGTGCTAGCCTTGAGCAAAAGAAGCTCAGGGACAGTGCTTCAGGCCCCGAGTTCAAGCCCCAGGACTGGCAAGATAAAGAAATAAAGCAGCAAGTGAGCAAGCTGACTGGATATACAAGAGAAAACCTAAACACCCCAGTTAGGGGAACACAAGGTGGACAGGTATATTGGGCATTTGTTGTACTCCATTACTGCTAAAGGCATGGGCTTGGTGTTACTGATACTATAAATGGGAGTCAAGAACATGACTAGCCTGAGAAGTTCATCAATGAAAAATATGGAAAAAAGATACATGCCAGGTGCTGGTGGCTCACACCTGTAATCCTAGCTACTGAGGAGGCTGAGATCTGAGGCTCACGGTTCAAAGCCAGCCTGGTCAGGAAAGTCCATAAAACTCTTATCTCCAATTATCTCTCAGAAGGTTTGAGAGATCAGGGTATCTAGTTCAAGGCTAGCATAGGCTCCATAATGAGACCTGTCTAGAGTAGAAGAGTGGGACTAGGCACAGAAGGAGGCTAGCAAGGACTTGGGGATGTAGCTCAGTGATAGAGTGCTTGACTAGCATGTACAAGGCCCTGGGTGTTGAAACCCCCCCCCCACACACACACCAATACAGCAAGAATAAGTAAAGAAAATAAAACATAAGAAGGGGAGTTACCAGAGAATATCAACTATAATACTTCTATTTCATAGATTACGAAAAGCTGAAGGAGTAAAGCAGATTTGCTGTAAAACAGATTTGCAGGAATATAACTTGATTTTCCTGATTCTTAATCCTGTAATCATCTATCATGCTGAGTTTGCAAAGATTTCTACAAGCAATATTTATGATAATCATGATCTCTTACTTTTCTGTTATCTGAAGGTTAAGTGCAAATAAAAAGCCAATGTAGAATTTTCACTTGTAAAGTTAAATGTATTTTGTGCATTTTTTTAAAAAAAGAAAGTTCAGGTGAATATACTTGGTCTCTGATAAATTTACAGATTTCTAAGTTTATTTTCTCTTTTAAAATTTGATCCATTTTATTCAGAAATTGCTTAGTTAAAATTTTGATAGCTTAACTGAAGCAATGAGAAACAATGAGAAAGACTGTTAACTGTACATGTGTAATTGGCATAAAAATATAAATGCAAACAAAAATTTTAATCAAAATCAGTATCCAAAAGACTGTCCAATGTCGATCTTAGTAAGAAATATTGCACTTGTATTATGGAAAGACTTAAGCCAGACTCTAGTGGCTCACGCCTGTAATCCTAGCTACTCAGGAAGTTGAGATATGAGGATCGTAGTTTGAAGCCAGCCCAGGCAGGAACATCTGTGAGACTCTTATCTCTAATTAGCCACTAAAAAGCTGGAAGTGAAGCTGAGACTCAAAAGGTAGAGAGCCAGCCTTAAGAGAAAAAGCTAAGGGACAGCATCCACACCCTGAGTTCAAACCACAGTACTGCCACCAATCAAGTTGGCAAAAATTTGTGCGTTTAATTCTGTCCAGGGATCTGAAAGAACAAGTTCAAAATACCTATGTTAGTTAACACAGACTAGCTAAAGCTAGTTACCTGTGATGAGCTAAAAGAAGTATCACATATGAGTATATTAGTTGGGGCTTTCTCAAAGGGTGATTCGAAGACTCTAGCATCAGAATCTCCTCAGAGTTCATATAAAGGCAGATTTCAGAGCCTTTCTTTTGATCTGCCAAATCAGAATCCTGTTTTCAGTGGGGCAAAAATATGTTCGTATGGAATCCTGAAGTTTCTAAGCCAAGAAAGTCTTTATTCATGTTAAACAGAAAATTAATGGAAGCCACTGATCTGGACTGAGTTCCTGGACTAGGCTCCAATAGACCCAACCATCATGCTGTCATTCATGCTGAAGTTCCACATCACCAAACCCAAACCAAGTTGTTTACCAGACTTTCTGAAAAAATCAGAAGAGAGAAGACTGTGAAATCCCCAAACAGGTCATGATAAAGAAGTCCTCTCTGATTTAACCCTACAAGGCAAGCAATGGGAAGCGGCCAGTCTGCAGTTTCAATTATTTCCTTGTTTCTGCCTAAGCTGCCTTAAAAATGGATTGTTCTGCCATGAGCAGTGTGGCGTCTCCGTATATTTATTACATGCTGTTGATTTAATGATGGCAACCAAAAGCCAGTGAAGTTCATTATCTAACGTTGTTGAATGTTTATCTTTCGGCAGTACCTTGAAGTAGAAGGGGAAATGGGTAAAGTCAGATGAGGAAGATAACTTTATAAGAGAGATCAGAGACACAAAGCTGCAAGAACTGTTCCAGGCTTGTCTACTCTGCAGGCAAGCTTTCCTCAGTTTCCCATATCATTTACAAAGGTCTAGCTTTTTAAACTGACAAAACATAAGGAGAGAGAGAGAGAGAGAGAGAGAGAGAGAGAGAGCTCTGTTTTTCAAAAGGGTTACCACTAGTTTAGCTTTCACTTGGGCTCGGAAAAACAAAGCTACCAAATTATCCATTTATTGTTCAAAGCAATTAATTGAACCCAAACATCCATTTATAGTTAACATTACAATAACCAAGCATCCTATTACCCAGAATTCAACACAACTGTAACTAATTCATCTCTTTCATTGAGCAGATTTTCCTATTTACTCTGGGATATTTCATTATACATAGGATGCTGTCAACTGGTAAAATCAGAAATTAGAGAAGATACATGATAATGACATGTGAAATCTGAAAGATGCTGTTCTTTAATGAATACAAAAGCAACTAAGTATTCAATCTATCTCACTGGAAAAGATATTAAGTTTGAAGCCTTGCTATTTCTCAAACAGATATTTAATCTTTAGCGTGTTTGTTTATGTGCCTCTTTTTGTTTTGATTTTCTTTTTTGTTTTTTATGCTACTCCTGTGGCTTGAACTCAGGGCCTGTACACTGTCCCTGAGCTTTTTTGTTCCACAGTGCCACTTCTGGTTTTCTGGTGGTTAATTGGAGAGAGGAGTCTCATGGGGACTTTCCTACCCAGGCTGGCTTTGAACCATGATCCTCAGATCTCAATCTCCTGAGTAGCTAGGATTATAGTCCTGCGTTCCTGATCTTTTGTTGGTTAAGACAATAGCTCCACTTCTGGCAGCTGCTTCCTTCCTTCCTTCCTTCCTTCCTTCCTTCCTTCCTTCCTTCCTTCCTTCCTTCCTTCCTTCCTTCCTTCCTTCCTTCCTTCCTTCCTTCCCTCCCTCCCTCCCTCCCTCCCTCCCCCCTCCTCCTCCTCCTCCTTCCTCCTTCTTCCTCTTTCCTCCTCCTCCTTCCTCCTTCTTCCTCTTTCTTCGTTGGAGAGAAGAGTCTTCCTGAGTTTCCTGACTGGGCTGGCCTTCCAACCTTTATCCTCAGATCTCAGCCTCCTAAGTAGCTGGGATTACAGACAATGAGCCACCAGCATCTGGCTATGTGCTTTTTTTTGGTATGCAAAAATCAGAATGAAATAGCTATGTAGCTGTTCAATGTCAGAATGAAATAACTATGTAGATGTTCAATGTTTGCAGTCTAACGAATGCCATCTCTAGTTGATTAGGGCTCTTTATCTTGAGAGGCGCTCTGGGAGTGGCACCAGGGGAGAACCAACCACCTTCCTCATTCTAGGAAATCTAGACGAATGTGCTTTGGCTCTTGGCAGCAAAAGATACCACCACTACTGTTGACATCAAGGGGAAGTACAGACTTTCTTAAGCCTCCTGTGGGGGTCAAACATTGTCTGCTATCAGAACACATGTCCACTCACTCCAAATAAACCTCTTCTGTTTCAGGGCAGAAACTCTGCAAACTGAAGAAAGGAAACTGCAGCCGGGGCCTGTGTAGACGAGACCCCAAGTCCCAGTTGTGCGCATGTGCGGAGGGCTATACTTTAAGCCCAGATGGAAAGCACTGTGAAGGTAACACATGCACGGTTCTGCAAAGCCTGGAAATCCTACTCCTATCCGAGCCAGGGGCTATTCAGGAGGCCGGGCAGGGCCTGAGATGGAACCAGCTTCAAGTTCACCTTTCCCTTCTTTTATTTTGTTGGTCATGGGGCCTGAACTCTGGGCCTGGGCACTGTCCCTCAGCTCTTCAGCTCAAGGCTAGCACTCTACCACTTGAGCCACAGCGCCACTTTCGGCTTTTTCTGCTTAAGTGGTGCTTAGGAACCGAACCCTGGGCTTCATGCATGCAAGTACTCTACCACTGAGCCACCTTCCCAGCCCCCTTCCCTTATTTTTAATTCCTTTCCCAGAAGAGCACTGTTTTGCCCTCACCCTCCACCCCTTTGTGTTTTCAAAGTCTCAGATCTTTTTCTATTTTGGAGTCTCAGGTCAAACACTCTCATAAGCTGTTTAAGAATGGACATGTTCAAGAATTCTCAGATTGTGCTCTAGGGATTTTTTTTTCTCTTTCATGTGACTGTGCGAATCAGGACAGGCAACTTTCCTGGTAGCAGCGTAGTTCCATAGTTATGGTTGGATTCTCTGGGATTCTCACATCTCATCCTGTAATACTGTCTGAATCCTGGGGAAATGTCAGTCGGACTGCTTATTTAGGTTTGGTTGAATGAACCTGGGAGAAATGTGGCAGCTGTTTTCCTAGAAGGTGCAGTGGTTTTGTGATAAATGAATGGGGCAGAAATAGGGTGAGTCACAAACACACGTAAATCTAGCATCTGTGTATGAATGATAGCACCGTGCTTCCTCAGGGCCAGTGCAGGCAGTGAGCTGCTTCTGGTTCTGGCACTTCAGCCACAGCAAAGATGCTGGGGAACTATGTCTACATTTAGCCTTAGAAGAACAGGTAATGCCACCAACTTATTAGGAACATCCAATAGTCCCTAACTTAAATGGGATCCTATGTCTTTTCTAAGGAGATAGTATGGCCATATCAAAAGGTAATTCTTGGGCTGAGAAGGTGGCTCAGTGGTAGAGCACTTGCCTTGCATGCATGAGGCCCTGGGTTCGATTGCTCAGCACCACATAAGCAGGAAAAAAAAAAGCTGGAAGTGGTGCTGTGGCTCAAGTGGTAGAGTGCTAGCCTTGAGCTGAAGAGCTGAGGGACAGTGCCCAGGCCCAGAGTTCAGGCCCCATGGCTGGACCCAAAACAAAAGGTAATTCTTGTATGAAAATCCATGAAAGAGCTGTAGAAACTGTAATGAAATAGAAATGGCTTCCATGGTCATGTAATGAATGCCATCCTTCCTGAGAACTGGGAAAAAACAAAAAACATAAAACAACCTTCTCAACATCAGCTCCCATACATACAAGCAGAGCTACCCTACCCAGGGCTGATAGCGATACTGCCTTTTATATTCATCATTAACCATTGACCATCTGACTCTGCTCTTCTGCGGTCCTTGTGCAGATGTCAACGAATGTGCCCTTTGGAGTCATGGCTGTACTCTTGGATGTGAAAACATCCCTGGATCCTATTATTGCACGTGCCCTGCTGGCTTTGTCCTCCTTCCTGATGGGAAACGGTGTCACCGTAAGTCACAGTGACAACTATTCATTGTGTTTTATTTTTCTTTATTTTCAGTCCTGTTTCTAAGGTGACTATGATCTAAGTTGGTGGACTTCAGTTAGGAGAGTTGATATTTTCTTGGAGTTTACCTTTGTTTTGCTTTTAAAAAAATATGGATAACTGGACTCTACCACAGACCTAGTGAAAAGCAATTTAAAAATGTCAAATACCACCTTACACACCTTACATCATACATTCTCATTTGTACTTGAGTTGTTTCTTAAGCTGAAGTTCTTTCCTGTCCTATTATTTTCTCTCTGTTGCTATACTCATTCTCCACTGTTGGTGTATGTGTGTGTGTGTGTGTGTGTGTGTGTGTGTGTGTGTGTGTGTGTGTTGTTTCTGGAGTTTGCACTTGGGCCTCCAGCTCTCAATCCAGTTTCTACTCATGGACTGAAGCTCTACCAACTGAGCTACAGTTCTAGATTTTTGCTCGTTAATTAGAGATTAAAGTCATTTGTATCCTCAGTCTGGCTTTGAACCGAGATCCTCAGATCTCAGCCTCTTGAGTAATGAGAATCTATAGGCATGATTTTTTTGGCCCATTTTTTTTGTTGTTGTTGGTGTTTTATATCCCAGGTATCATGGCATTGCATAAATGTTTAATCTTTAACGTCCTTTTTGGAGGATAGCATGTTTTCGATGAGACAGATCTTTCTATGTAGCCTAATCTGGTCTTGAACTTGAGATATTCCTGTCTCAGCTTGTTGAATATTCAGACTATAGACATGTATCCTAATTTGTATGGCTAGAATAGCACCTGTGTGTGTGTGTGTGTGTGCGTGTGTGCTGATAATGGGCCTGGATCCTGTCCCTTAGCGTTTTTTGCTTAAGTCTGTCTCTCTACTGCTTGAGCTACCCCTACACTGTGGCTTTTCCTAGTTAGTTGTTGATAAAAATCTCATGGAATTTCCTTCCTGGGTTGGCTTTGAAATATGATCCTCAGATCTCAGCCTCCTGAGTAGCTAGGGTTTATCTACTTGAGCCACTAGCAAATAGTACTTTTTATTAGCAACTGCTTGTAATGAATTCCCACAAACTTGATTTTACACTAATCTTAACTTTGTTCTTCATTAACTAGAATTTGTTTCCTGTCCAAGCAACGCAAGTGAATGTAGCCATGGCTGTGTTCTGACGCCAGACGGCCCCCGGTGCTTCTGTCCCGAAGGCTCAACACTTCAGACAGATGGAAAAACATGCAGTGGTGAGTCAACTGGCTTTCTGTCTGGAAAAAAAGTTGTTATTTTTTTAATAAGTTTTTTTTATTGTGAGAATACTGTACAGAGGAGGGGTTACAGTTACATGAGCAAGGTAATGAGTACATTTCTTATCAAGCAATGTTGTCTCTTCCTTTGTTTGTCCCCTACCATCCCTTCCCTCCCATCTCTGCCCCTCCAGCCTAAATTGTAAAGTTCATTTTTCTTTATAATGTCCTGTATATCTCATTGTTGCAATGGGTCAACCTGTATCCCTGTTTAAACAATTTTTTCCCTTCCCCTCCCCAAATTATACCAACATCAAACAGTGAAAACAGGGATTATACCATGGGGGAGGGACATACGAAGCAACAACAACAACAAAAAAACCTTATAAATACATTAGAAGCAATAGCAAGAAAGAAAATTCCACTTATGTCCTTATCTTGGGGTTCATTTTGCTTAACATCATCTTATCTGAACTTTTCCAACCCAGATTCCCCTCAGTAGATGAATGGATCAAGGAAATATGGTATTTTACATAATGGAATTCTATGCCTCCATCAGAAAAAATGACATTGCCCCATTTGTTAGGAAATGGAAAGACTTGGAAAAATTATATCAAGTGAAGTAAGCCAGGCCCAAAGAAACATAGCTCCCATGGTTTCCCTTATTTGCAATAACTGGTACATGTCTGGAATAAAGGTTTTTAAGTGACCTTAAAAGTTAATCAAGACAATGTTCAACAGGAAATGTACTCATTACCTTAAATATGTAACTGTAACCATTCTGTAAATCACCTTGACAATAAAATTGATTTTAAAAAGTTAATCAAAGCAGTGATTGTCCAAAAAGAAATGCTTTCATTACCTGACTTAAGTAACTGTAACTCCTCTGTACATCACCTTTATAATAACAATTTAAAAAATTAAAAAAGTTGATCAAGATGCTTTGTACTTATAAACTGATAAGTTGAATTGAAACTCCTTTGTTCAACTACATAATGATTAATTTAAAAGAGAATAGGAATTGTATAAATAGAAAAGGTTAATCTTATTGTCAAAGGAGAGTACATTTTCCAATATTACAAACTGTAAAACATTTATGCAATAGATTAACTTGTAGATTTAAATTGAACCTTTGATTTTCAAAAGTCAGATAGCCCTGAGTTATCATTGCTAACTACTAGCAGCATGATTAGAACTAGTAATTGGCATCTCTTTGTCTCTCTTTTCTCATTTGTAGGAGTATTTGCCTTCTGGATTGAACAAAATCGTAGATACAGAACACATAGCCTTTTGCTTCAACTTAGTATTCTTATCTTCATAAGTTACTGAAGCATATAGATATAGGGTACCACTCCAAATTAGCAGAAGAGTTTTATGTTGCTTTATGAGTTTTGAATTTTAAAAAATGAAATAGAAGGGATCCCTTTTTATTGTACAGAATGAAGTGTTGCCTGAGTCTAAAATTGAAAACAAACCCAATTAAGGTCTTAAAAAGTTATACTAAAGTAAATAAATAAGGCAAAACAAATTAAGAGGACTTGGCATTGGTGGCTCATACCTGTAATCCTAGCTACTCTGGAGGTTGAGATCTGAGGATCATGGTTCAAAGCCAGCCCAGTCAGACAAATCCAAGAGGCTCTTATCTCCAATTAACCACCTCAAAACCAAAAGTGGACATATGGCTCAAGTGGTAGAGAGCTTGCCTTGAGCAAAAAAGGTCAGGAACAGTACTTATGCCCTGAGTTCAAACACCAGTGTCTGAACAGCAGGGAAAATGTCAAGAGATCAAAAAAGGGAGAAAGGCAAAAATGTCTTACTAGAGGAAACAGCTACTTACCAAAACATAATTCTTTCTTTGCACTTGATCTTTAGGTAGGGAGAACACACTAGAAAAAGGGCCACTGGAATGTGAAGGGTTAACATGCATGGGTTGGGTTATAGAGGGAAAGGGTACTGTGACATTTTGCTCTAATTTCTGAACTAAACTTGATTCCAGTGGAGCAAACAACCGTAGCAATGATTTTAAAAGTCAGCACCCCAGTGCTTTGATGCAAATGTGTTCTATTTTGGATGACGTCATATTATGACGAAGCAACTGTTTGTTTTGTAGGCTGTTCATCACCTGACAATGGTGGATGCAGCCAACTCTGCATCCCTCTCAGCCCAAGATCCTGGGAATGTGGATGCTTTCCTGGGTATAATCTACAGCTGGACCAAAGAAGCTGCACAGCTTCAGGTTAGTGCCGAGATTGTCTGACTTGCACAAAGATGACAGGAAGGTCACATTTCACATAGAAAGATGCAGAGTTGAATTGTTTTGGGCATCTTGATGGAAATTCTTGTTTTGGGGGGCTTCTTTTTTAGGTTTGGAAATGAAAAATAAATCCTGTTACTATAAGTAAGTAATAAGGACCAAAATAATAATGTTTTTATTATTACTTAGAAATAAATGATATATTTAAGGATATTTCTGAGTTAACTGACATCAGGAAAGATTTTTTCATCATGTCAGGAATGGTGTATTCAATAGGTAAAAAAGTCATAGGCAGGTACTGGTGGTTCACGCCTGTAATCCTAGCTACTCAGGAGGCTGAGAACTAAGGATGCAGTTTGAAGCAAGCCCCGGCAGGAAAGCATGTAAGACTATTATCTCCAATTACCTCATAAAAAAAGCTGGAAGCAGGGCTGGGAAGGTGGCTTAGTGGTAGAGGCCCTGGGTTCGATTCTTCAGCACCACCTGAGCAAAAAGAAAAAAGCCGGAAGTGGAGCTGTGGCTCAAGTGGTAGAGCACTAGCCTTGAGCTGAAGAGCTAAGGGACACTACACAGGCCCAGGGTTCAGGCACCATGACTGGACCAAAAAAAAAAAAAAAAAAGCTGGAAGCAGAGCTGTGGCTCAAGTAGTAGAGCACTAGTCTTAAGCATAAAAGCTCAAGTTCAGTGCCTTGGCCCTGAGTTCAATACCTGGAACTGGCTCCTCCCCCACCAAAAAAAAAAAAAAGAAAGAAAGAAAAGAAAAGGAAGGAAGGAAGGAAGGAAGGAAAGAAGGAAGGAAAGAAGAAAAGAGAAAAAAAGTCCATGTCTGTAATCCTAGTTACACAGGAAGCTGAGATCTGAGGATCCAGATTTGAAACCAGCATGGGCAGAAAAGTCTGTGAGACTCTTATCTCCAGGTAACCACCAGGAAGTTGGAAGTGGAGATGTTCCTTAAGTGGAAAAGTGCTAGCCTAGAGTGAAAAAGCCAAGCAAAAGCATGAGATTCTGAGTTCAAGCCAAGAAGAAGCAGGAGGAGGAGGGGGAAGAAGAGGAGGAGGACGAGGAGGAGGAGGAGGAGGAGGAATAACAAGAACAAGAAGAACAAGAACAAGAACAAGAAGTTGTTGTTATTGTGTATAGACCCAATATTTGTCTCATTTGGCTCTGGTCTGGAACATTGAATGAAGTATGTAAGTAATTTGTGTCTTAAAGGCAGATACCTAGAAAGATAAGGATCCTTGGTGAAATCCTGGCAGTGTGTCATATCTTGGGAGAGGAAGTCTTCTTGCCTATCTTTGCCTGCAGCACACTGGTGGGAAGCTAACTATATGAATGCTGCAGAAATTAAAGAAGGTACAATAAGGAAGTCAGGAATGCTTCGTGGCTCCTAAAGCAGGTGGTAAATAAGCCGTGTTTGCCGTTTTGTTACCAGGACCGCCACCGGTTTTGCTGTTTGCCAATTCTCAAGATATTCGACGCATGCACTTTGACGGAACAGATTACGGAACCCTGCTCAGCCAGCAAGTGGGGACAGTTTTCGCCCTCGATTATGACCCAGTGGAGAACAAGGTAGGCTGAACAGATGTGTATGCTGTCAGGACAGAATGCAGGATGAATTTATGTTTGCAAATGAATATCCTCTAAGCCCAGAATGCTTACATCCAGAGCAAGTTAAATGTAGACTTTGGGGCATCTTTTGAGCTCCAATGAGCACCAGTGCCAAGCACATACAAGGATTCCACAAGTAGGTTTTTTGATAGTTTGATGGGAGTGAGAGGGATGGGAGATTGAGATTCGAGGCAAATCAAATATGGGTCAGTAATTGGTGTCAACTATTATATCATGTTGGATGCCCAAGGCTTATTTCTGTAATCCCAGTTTCCCAGGAGGGTGAGATCTGAGGATCATGATTCAAAGCCAGCCCAAGAAGAAATGTCTAGGAAGACCATTATCTCCAATTAACCACTGGAAAAGCTGCAAGTAAAGGTGTGGCTAAAGTGGTAGAGTGCCAGCTTTAGGCAGAAAAAGCTAGAGTGCTAGGCCCTAAGTTCAAACCTCAATACTGGTATACACACACACACACACCACACACACACAATATAAATACATGTTATATATATATATATATATATATATATATATATATATACACACACACACACACACACACATATATATCATGTATATGATATTCAAACATTCTCATGAAATTCAGGAATCTTTTAATAGCTTGTGTACTAACTGAAAAAGAACCTTGAACCTGCAAAGTTGGACAACATGGACAAACTAAAATGAAACTATGAGCCAGATGCTGGTGCCTCATACCTGTACTCCTAGCTATTCAGGAGGCTGAAATCTGAGGATTGTGGTTCAAAGCCAGCCCTCGCAGAAAAGTCCCCTTGAGACTCTTATCTCCAATAATCCACTCAAAAACCAGAAGTGGCACTGTGGCTCAAGTGGTAGAGTGCTAGCTTTGAGCACAAAGAGGCTCAGCGACAGTGCCCGGGCCATGAGTTCAAGCTCTACAGCTGCAAGAAAGAAAGAAAGAAAGAGAGAAAAAAGAAAGGAAGAGAAGAGAAGAGAAAGAAATTATGAAGTACTGGTGGCTCGCTAGCTACTCAGGAGGCCAAGAGCATTTCAGGTTGAAGCCGGCCTGGGAAGGAAAGTCTGTGACACATCTCCAATTAACCATCAAAAAACTAAAACTGGAGGTATGACTCAAGTGGTAGAGCACTATCAGCTTTGAGTGAAAAAAGGACAGTGTCCCAGGCCCTGAGTTCAAGCCCAGTACTGGTGCACACAAAAAGGGATTTTATGTAAAGTTAGAGACGAAATCAACTTCAATGAATACATGTTCTAATTTCTGTAGTCAGGAAAACTGAAGTTCAAGGCCTTGGCCAGGACAGTGAAACAAATATGTGGCAAATTTAGGAATGAAACCCATGTCCCCTGACCTGCCCTAAAGTAACATGCTGCTGAGTGAGTGCTTGAAGCTTGCTCAGCTGATACCCTTATCAAATCGTGACTTCCTTTCAGGCTATAGTAGCTACTAAAGTTCAAGAACAAAGGCTATGCCATGGATCAATGGGGAAAGAATAATAAATTGCCGATAGAAATATGTGCAGACACTAAGGATTTACGCCTATGTATATCTATCTATACCTCATGTAACTTAATAAGCTATTTTATTATCCCCATTTGACCAAGTAGGACACTAAGATTCTGTAAGACTAAGAAAAACTAGCCAGACTCACTTCTGTGGCTCACTTCTGTAATCCTGGCTACTCAGGAGGCTGAGTTCTGAAGATTGCAGTTCAAAGTCAACCAGAGCAGGAAATTCTGTGAGACTCTAATCTCCAATTAACCACCAGAAAACTGGAAGTGGCACTGTGGCTTAAAGTGGTAGAGAGCTAGCTTTGAACAAGAGAGCTCAGGGACAGTACCCAGGCTCCAAGTTCAAGTCCCACGCATAACCAAAAACTAAAAAGAAAAAGAAAAAGAAAAGAAAACTTGTTTATAGCTTCACACATCAGAAAGAAGAACCATTGGGGTTCATCGTAGAAGTGTTGAACTTCAGAAGCAAGCTCTCCACAGATACCCTGGATGACCTGAGACCACCTTCATCTTCTTTAGATATGTTCATTTCTCTTTTTTATTTTTTTACTATCTTTAAGTAGTGTACAAAGGAGTTCCCATTCTACCACACAGTATGTGAATACAAGGTGTCTGACCACATCGCTCCTAACCCATGCCTTCTCTCACTTCCGCGTTGATTTCTAAGCGCAGACCAGTCATGCCTCTGTTCTCTTCTGCAGCTCTATTTTGCCCACACAGCCCTGAAATGGATAGAGAGAGCTCGCATGGATGGTTCTCAGCGAGAGAGGCTCATCCAGGAAGGAATAGACATGCCTGAAAGTCTTGCTGTGGACTGGATTGGCCGTCGAATCTACTGGACAGACAGAGGGTATGTTTCCTGCTTGGGTTTGAAGCCTCAGGGGAAGGAAGAGAGGAAATAGATAACACCACTGGTTTCTCTTCCGGTGTTGCTGGGGGCTTGCTGAACGGTGGAAAGGGGCTATGTTACTATCTATATTCCCTCACACCCTGCGCTCCAGCAAGCCCGTTACTCCTTTCAAGACTGAACTAACTGCTATGGACAGATTTCCAGGACTAAAAAAGTAGCCTTGTGCTTTTGCTGTTCAGGCTTTGTTAACAGAGAAACCTGAAATGTGAGCACCATAGTATGCATCCTTCAAATCTCTGCTATGGGTCAGCCTCTCTCCTAGGTTTTCTGAGAGAGACAAAGGAACATGAGATACTATCCAGCTTTGCAGCCAGCTCACAGTTTAACTGGAAAGACAAAGCATTATTTCCCCAGCCAAACAAATGCTTGGACTGTTCATAGGTAGAAGAAATATTGTAAGTCCGTGCAGATAGCTATCAATTGGAAGGTGTCCATTCCCAAAAGGATGGCTGTGTGAGCCTGCCCAACCCCCAACTTTTACAGGGCTCAGGAAGGATGAGTTATTCCAGGTCACACCACTGGACGTGCTGGCTCAGAGAAGCAGACTTGAAGGACAGAGAGGGACTCAAGCGGGAAGGACAGGTTATGAGATTGGAGGGGTTGATCGGCTTCTCTTTTGGTTGGGAACCATAGAACTAGAGTGCAGTCCGGGTATTTCTGTCCTCGGGGTATGCTAGACTGGGGGCTGCGGGAATGGCTGCTGCTCTTGGTGTCCAGGTGGCCTGTGTCACCGTGGGGACAGAACAGGAAAGAGTTGGAGAAAAGCTAGTGAAGAAATGGCTGCCTCACTGAGATGCTGAAAAGAGCTCGCTTCCTTCCTTCTGTGAGAGAGGTTGTCGGCCATGGTCCTTCACCAGATACATCAGAGGTGCTATGTGCTCCAGGAACGGAAGCCATGATGTGAAATGGTAGCTGTGCACCATGTGTGAAGAAAGGAAGAGTGAGTGAACTGCATGAAGCAGCAGTTCCAGCCCAGAGGAAGGAAAGTCCCAGGGAATGGGTTTATATGCTTGCTATGAGCTTTCTGTATCCCAGAAAACCTCTATGCGCTTGTATTACTGAGGGAAAACAAGGTCTTAAAAATAAGTGACGCCACGCACTGGTGGCTCAGGCCTGTAAACCTAGCTACGCAGGAGGCTGAGAACTGAGGATAGAGGTTCAAAGCCAGCCTGGGCAGAAAAGTCCCCATGAGACTCTTATCTCCAATTAACCGCTAAAAAACAGGAAGTAGCATCATGGCTCAAAGTGGTAGAGCACTAGCCTTGAGTAAAAGACAGCACTCCGGTCCTGAGTTCAAGCCTCACGACTGACAAAAATAAATAAATAATAAATAAGTGAGAAGTATGTGGTATGCAATAATCAATAAATGGCACCTCCGTATCCAAGGTGAACATTTTTCATCTCTCTACTTTTCATCTATTTTCTATATCTATCATCTGTCAGTATCTGTCACCTGTCATCAATCTTTTATCCATCTATCACCTCTTTTATCTATATCTATCATCTATTATCATTATCTCTATATAGGTATCACTTATCTATCACCTATTATCTATATTTATCATTTATTACCTATATTTAGCAGCTATTATCTATATCATCTATCTATAGTCTATTATCTATATTTATTATCTATCATCTATGTTTATCACTTATTAGCTATTTGATCATCTATATATTGGTCTATGTACATTTTTTGGCGGTAATAGTTTGAACTCAGAGTCTCAAGCTTGCTCGTCAAGTGATCTGCTACTTGAGATATGCGTTCAACCTCTTTTGTTTAAAATTATTGACTGTTTGATACAGTCTTCTTTAAGTTTCTGCCCAGGCTTGCATGGGCTGGCACTACAGTGCTGGCTTCCCACATAACTGGAGCCACAGATTTCCACCACACCCAGCTTATTTGTTAAGATAAAGGTCTTTGTAATTTTTTTTTTTCCTGTGCTGATCTCCAGTGATCCTCCCAATCTTCACCTCTGTGTCTCTGAGATCATTTATGCCTTCATTCCTTTACTATCTGGGTATTCATTTATTGAATAACTATAATTTACCAGATACCGTGAGTAGAGCTTTCCATCCAGAAGACTGCTAATTTTCAGAGAGATGTATTTTCTTATCTCCAGTTTGAAGATGAAGAAAACTGATCATCAGAGAAAGTGAAATAATTTGACCAGGGCCAGTCGTTCAAGTAGTATCAGATCTGGAAGCAGAGTTCAAAGATGATCATTTTTAATGATGATACTCCGAATAATCATAGAAGTTGGACTATGCCATTGCTCAATAGGACAATATGTATTTAGCATGTATAAAGCCTTGGACTCAATCCTTAGCAAAAATCCTTAACAAATCACCATAGAGAGGGCTTTCTCCTCCAATCAGAGTTGGTTTAAATGCACCAAACCTAGAGTCTCATGGAACAAATTTAAATTGACCATAATCGTAATAATGATCAAAATAATAAAAAACAGCCTTCTCCACGCTGAACCTACTTGAAAGGATGTTTTCAGTGTCAGCTGCCATAATAACAGCCAGTGCGTTGTTTTCAGAGAGTAAACATTGATCATGACAATAGGTGTTAACACTCTTGAGCCTTCTAAGGGCAATGGGCCTTTTACCTATTTTTCCATGTCCTGTCATTTAGCAATATTTGATTACTAGTAAGGTGGTAGCTAGTACAGAGGTATGCCCACACAACCCTATATTGCAAAATTAGACCTCAAATTTTCTCCCTCATTGACTTCAGTAATCACAAGCCCCTTTTAAGTCCTCTAACCTCTGAAGACAGCTGCCAAATGTAAACCTTTCATTTGTCTAGCAATGAGATGTTTACAGTTGGAAAACCTCAATATTAGCTAGAAATTGGATTTAAATAATTGAGATTGCAGTGTCATGGTATTTGATGACATGATAACAGAGTTGGTCATATTCTATACTGGCTTAGGAAGAAACAGATTCAACAAACATCTAAGGTCTAGGAAGGAAGCTAATTGTTAATCCTCCATGCAATGCTATTATTCTTTAGTATGAAGGATTACTGGTTCCTAAAGCTAATTAAATTAAGGAGGTAGAAATATATGTTTATCTGTTTGGGGGTGAATAGCAAAAACTACCGTAAGATTTTTTTTTGAAAAAGCATTCTTTGGAGGTTCTTGTTGGGCAGCTCTCACTCTGAAAGTAGCGTGGTGGTCTCCCTTGAAAGCTCCCAATGAATACAAAGAGATGCTCCCTTCAATTAGGGAGTACACTAGAGTTGAGGTGAGCCTACTTGTGCCGCTCTTTGCTTTCTTAAAGCTCCCTACACGGTAAGTTTGAACTTCACTTTTTGGTTGAACCAAATAGAAGTGGATTATTAGGGGAGTGCCTCACGGGGCTCAATTCTCATCACCCAATCCTTCTCCAAGTAGATTTATTTATTTATTTATTTTTTTGCCAGTCCTGGGGTTTGAACTCAGGGCCTGGGCATTGTTCCTGAACTTCTTTTGCTAGCCAGCACTCTACCACTTGAGCCATAGCTCCACTTCTGGCTTTTTGTGTTTATGTGGTACTGAGGAATCCAACCCAGGGCTTCATGCATGCTAGGCAAGCACTCTACCACTAAACCACATTCCTAGCCTCCAAGTAGAATTTATAGAGGATGTGAAAATGGAGCTGATGGTTTTATTCCCCCAGGCCCAGCAAGTGGCCTCAGAACTTCTTCCTTCCTACTGGGGGAAGATGGGCACAAGATTCCAGGGTAACTGAACTATAGTCAGTGAAACCACTGTATTCTCAACCATCTTAGAATCAGATGGGCAAAACCAGGCTCAATGGATTGTGCCTGTCATCCAGTTACTTGGGATACAGAGATTGGAGTTCCAAACCTACCAGGCAAAAAGTCCACAACATAATCTGCAAAAATAAAGCAGAAAGGTCTGGAAGTGTGACTCAAGATGGTAGAGCACTTGCTGAGCAGGCACAAGACCCTGAGTTCAAAATCCTAGTTCCCCCTCCCGGCCCCCCTCCCCAACACACACAAAGAGAGAGATGGACGAAAATCATAAACTTCCACTTGCTGTCCTATGCTGGTTTGTCCCCTCCTCCTGGTTCTGTGTCCAGGGGCCTGGCAACTCTCTTGCTCCTGGCTTCCGTTGCTTCTGCAAGAGACTTGAGGGCATTTATCCTGTTGTTATCCCTGCCAGGCCCCTGTCCCAGCGTCCTTTTACTTTCTCTTATTTCTCAGACAGGTATCAGGAAGTTAGTTCCAAGATGGTGTTTTAAATCAGAGGGGGCTTGTGGGTGCTAATTTTGTACTGTATATATGTGTATATGTTTAAGAGATAGCATATCAAGAATGAGGATGCTTTTGTTCGAAAAGTAAAGATGATAGAACAAAACATTCTTGTATGACCTACATTTCAGGAAATCTGTCATTGAAGGGAGTGATCTAAGTGGTAAACATCGTCAGCCAATCATTAAGGAGAACATCTCTCAGCCACGAGGAATCGCTGTTTACCCGATGGCCAAGTAGGTATTTGTGGAACCCAGGGCCCCTGCTACAGACACGTGGTAACTCCTGCCACTGAATTTGTGTAAGACCTCAGGTGATGGTGGAATCTGAAGCCATGGGAACCTGGGAGATCTATTTAAATCTTCAGAAATGATGTGGCTAATGTACATTCTATGTCTTTTATAATGTAAAATTTTTCTCTCTTCCTCTCCTTTTCTGACCTCCTCCCTTCTTTCCCTTCCCTTCCCCTTCCCTCCTCCTTCTCCTCCCTCCCTCCCTCCCTCCCTCCCTTCTTTCCTTCCTTCCTTCCTTCCTTCCTTCCTTCCTTCCTTCCTTCCTTCCTTCCTTCCTCCCTCCCTTCCTTTCTTCCTTCCTTCTTCCTCTCTGTCTGTTTCTGTACAAGAACTTGAATGTAGAGCCTCAGACTTAATGTCCCTCTTCAGTATATCCTGAAGTAATTCATATTGATATTTTTTATTTTGCAGTACAGGATTTGAACTCGGGTTCTTGCAGGCACTCTACCACTTGAGCCACACCTCCAGCCCTTATTGATACATTCAATGATGAAAAATGGATTTTTCATGCAGATCATATTTATTGTTTGCTTTCTTGGTTAAAGGAGATTATTCTGGACCGATACAGGGATTAATCCGAAAATTGAAAGCTCTTCCCTGAAAGGCTCCGGCCGGCTGGTGATAGCCAGCTCTGACCTGTTGGAGCCCAGTGGAATTACCATTGACTATTTGACAGACCTGTTGTATTGGTGTGATGCCAAGCGGGCTGTCATTGAAATGGCCAATCTGGATGGTTCCAAACGCCAAAGACTTGCCCAGAATGATGTAGGTGAGGCTTTGGGGTGGGCCATTTCTTCATTTGACTGAGTGCTGATGAATGCTAACCACAATACACACACACACACACCAACGTAACAAACACAGATATAAATACACACTCAATCACACACCCAACCTCCCCCCCTACACACACAGTTTACCAAATGATGAAAAGAAAGTCAGACAAACCTGTAGGCATTAAGAGCAGCAGGATTACCTACATGTTGAAAGACTGGTTAAAATGGAGTGTTGTACAATCATTTCTCTTTCCTAGGGTTTCCCGAATCAGAATGAAAATACTAAAATTTTCCAAATTTAGGACTAAAAACTTGGTCCCATTTTTACAGAGTGTCATTTCACAAGCGATAATGTCACTTTTAGGCATTAGCAACTGTCAGTTGACCACATGTACATAAATTAGCAAGTGCAGTTTACCATTTATTCTCACAAATATTTTTACGGCACAAGGCCATATAAAGGGGACGTGCAGGTGGCTATCAGCTTGTGTTAGCAGTGGGGGATTTACAAGGACTCAGGGAGTCTGTAAACCCAGGCTTTGAACCAGGACACATGATTGTAATAAAAGGCATGGTAGGGACAGGGAAGGCGAGGTGTGGAGATTTCTGTGAAGTCATGGAGTGTCGTGAGAAAACCTTCCTTATTTAGAAAACACCATGCAAGTAACTGAAAACGGAGAGCTTTTCCAGCAGAAGGTAGAGAGAGACTTTAACATTCTTAGCCACAATAGTAAAAATGTCATAATCTAGTCCAGAGCATAGGTTAGTAATTTGAAATTGCTACTGAAAAATGAGGAATGTGATGTTTTATTGAAGACCATTGTCAAATCCTCTGGTTTGAAATTATCTAAGTAATCATTCCTAACCAACCCCCTAGTGCCATCTACTGAAATTTATGTGGTGGCTTCAGCTCCTGCTTAAGCTTTTTAATATAAAGAGTAAATGAATTCACATTTAATGGTAATAAAAAGCAATAAGGAAAATGATGTTGGGAGTGGATATTTGGTAGTTGAAACACTTGCTAATTCTTACATGCTTCAAATGGATGGCCTTGAGGAGTCGCCAAATTCACACAAACATGAAGTTGGATGATATTTACCAGGAGAGACATGGAGAGGGACATGGAAGTTATTTAACAGGCAGCGAGCTTTAGACTGGCAAGATGAAAAGTTTGGAGATTCGCTGTACAACAGCATATAAATATATATAACACTACTGAACCGGACACTTAGAAAGGTTAAGGTGGTAAATGTTATAATGTGTATTACCACATAAAAAGAATTATGGATGTTAATGATCTTAGTTATAATGGGGTGGAGATTCACTGTCGCCTGATATTTGAGGTTGGAGCCACCAGAGGGAGCTCTGGGTTCTAAGTCATGACATTGACTGCTCACGTGCAGTATTACTGAGCTTTCACGCTGGGGCCTCCTTAGTGTTCCTTAACTGTTTGAGGTCATGTGTGATCACATTTCCCTAATTCCTTTCCTGACTTGTCAAAGAAATTCCTGATGGCATTGAGAGGTGGTTTTGGTTGGGGTGCTGTAGAAGGAAGCCCACAGGTGTCCACAGGAACCATAGAAATGCAGGTAGCAGAAAACATATTAGCTTTTTCCAAAAACAGACACTAAGATGACAGGGCAGAGAGAGAAGGACGTGGGGCAAATGGAGGGAAGGTGTTGGTAGAAAGAGGAATTTGAAGAAATAGTCATCTCAAAAACATTCTTTTCTGCTGGTATGGGGGCTTTTCCACTTGAGCTATAGCTCCAATTCCAGCTTTGGGTGGCTAACTGGAGATAACATGCTCATGGAATGTTATGTCTGGGATGGCTTTGATAAATCCTCAGATCTCAGCCTCCCGAATGGTTGGGATTACAGGCATGAGCCACCAGCACCTGACTTACAGCAACATTTTAACCCCTATGAATGTACAGCTACAGCCCTTCAAAACCAAGAACTGCCTGAATTGTGAAATGGTAACCCTTCTGTACAACACCTTAATAATAACAATAAAATTATATGTTCTTTAAGAAAGAATATATGCATTTAAAAAAAATTTCAGGAACCTAAGGCAAAGAAAAAAATAACAGCATATAAATAGTGGCAGACATAAGTATATACCATTCCCTCATCTACTTCCTTCTTGGGTCATTAAGATAGTCAGCCTTCACTTGCTGGGTGACAATGGGCCTTGCTAGCCCTCTAAGGCAGAGTTCCATCAGCCTGGAGTTTCTCCAAATGCAGGTGTAGGCCATCAGCTCAGCAGCTGTGGGAAAGATGTAGTGTAGGAATGCTGCAGGCTTCCAGCTTGGTCCCCTTGCAAATCTTCATTGTATGGCATGACTCTGAATCGCTTCCAGGTCGTCCCTTTGCTCTAGCCGTGTTTGAGGATCACCTGTGGATCTCGGAATGGGCTATGCCATCGGTAATAAGGGTGAACAAGAGGACTGGCGCAAACAGGGTATGTCTCCGAGGCAGCATGCTGAAGCCCTCGTCTCTGGTTGTGGTCCACCCATTGGCAAAACCAGGTACACTGGAGATGTTCCGTAGGCCTTCCTTGGCCACAACCTGCCACTACTGTAGCTGATGACAGATGGGTTTGGGGGTGGGGGTGGGAAGGGGGGGCAGTGGAAAGGACTTTTCAATTCACCCCTCTCTGGGTAGATTTTAAGATTTTTCTGAGTCAGATGCTGGTGGTGCATACCTGTAATCCTAGTGAACCCGGAGGCTGAGATCTGAGGATCGCAATTCAAAGCCTGCCTGGGCCGGAAAATCCACCAGTTAGCCACCAAAAAGCTAGAAGGAAAGCTGTGGCTCAAGTGGGAGAGCACCACCGTTGAGCAAAAAAAAGCTAAGAGACAGCTCCCGGGCCCTGAGTTCAAGCCCCAGTACCATCACATGTGTGTATATATATATATATATACACACACACACACACACACACAAATGCTAAGATTTCCACTTTGCTTGGTTTAAGACACTCCAGTGGTTTGTTAATTTGCTTGGTCATTTGAGTTACTTAAACTTATTTTTCACCTTAACAGCACCCACACTCCCCCAATTGTTTTTACTTGTTGTATTTCCAAGGCTGTGGCTTACAAGCTCTTAAGGGAGGCAGTTGAGATTCTTGCAGTGGAAATGTCTTCCTGTCCTGGGGCTTTTTTTCCTACCCCAATATGCCAGCCAGGGAGTACCAGCCAAGCAAGGAGATGCTAGGAGCATTAGTCTCCTCCAGTGGCTCTTCTTTCTCCTTTGTCCTGCGTCAGCTTGACTGAATCAGCAGGTAGAGATCCCATCTGACCGGAGAGTATTTTGAGCGGAAAAAGTACTGTCTACAGTCGTTAAATCCTCCTGTGGTAGCATTTGGAGCTGACCTTGGAGGCAGGCTCCCTGTGGGATCTTTATGAAATACTTAATCACATCACCTCGATTTAGATACCCAGAATTCTCTCTCCAGAGGTGTAGACTACAACCAATAGCATCCTTCATGCCTATGAGCTCACTTGTGGATTGGCTGCTTTTCTCTCTCACTAGGTGCTGATCCCTGCTTACATCAGAATGGAGGCTGTCAACAGATTTGCCAAGAGAGCTTTGGAACTGCTCAGTGTTCCTGTCATGAAGGTTTTACAAAAGCTCCCGATGGGAGAATGTGTCTTGATCCAAAGAGTCATCGGCCAGCAGCTGGTAATACGATCAATTAGGCATCTAAATCATCTCACCAGTGCTCTGGGGCCCTTAGATCCCATCTCCGTCCCTGCTTTTGCTGAGTTTTAATATTTTGTATGTTTGAGGCTCTTGGTCTCCAGGAATGCAAGACTGTGGTTGGTTTTTTTTTTCCCTTAACCCCTCTGAGGAGTTTTCAGTTATGTGTTACAGACTAAATTCACTTGAGTGCTCATTATAAAGTCTTTGGCTCCAATCAGCCTCCTTTCTCCATTTGTAATGGAGAGGGCCTAGCTTGGAAATAAATGTCCATGTTTCACCACCTCACACAAGTACTTAGAGACTTCGTGTTTAGGAGGTTCTTGGTTTTTGTTTTGTTTTTGTGCTAGTCCTGGGGTTTGCACTCAAGGCCTGGGCACTGTCCCTGAGATTTTTATTTTTTTGCTCGTGGAAAGCACTCTCGCCACAGCTAGTTAATTGGAGCTAAGAATCTCACAGATTTTTCTGCCTGGGCTGGCTTTGAACTGAAGTCCTCAGATCTAAGCCCCTTGAATAGCTAGGACTACCCTGCTTGTTTATGTGTTTGATATCTTCAGTTTTAGAGGCTGTAGTGTAACATCTTCTTCTTGTATGTAAGGTTTTAATAAGAAAGTCAAAGTCCTTCAGGAACATGACTTTAGGATACAGAACAAGTGTAGGAAATCCATCCTGAGAAAGCATACATGGTCTTTCTTTGGATATATTTCTACCAAAAAATACACCAAGGATAATTTAGATTTCATGGAACCATTTTTAAAAAGTCTTATTTGCAAGGTGCCAGTGGCTCATGGCTGTTATCCTAGCTATTCAGGAGGCTGAGATCTGAGGATTGTGGTTCAAAGCCAGCCCAGGCAGGAAAGTCTGAGAGACTCTTATCTCCAGTTAAACAGCAACAAATCAGAAGTGGAGCTGTAGTTCAATAGGAAGAGCACTAGCCTTGAGCAAAAAGCTCAAAGACAGTGCCCATACCCTGACTTCACAGTACTAGCAGGAAAAGAAAAAAAGTTCTATTTATCTGATAGTCATGGTAAAAATATGAGTTTGGTAAGAGATTACCAATAAGTATATTCATCCCTCATGGATATCTTGGATTTTCAGAATTGTCTGCTAACTTGTTGTCCAAAGACAATAATTTCATACCTCTTGATCTCTGTACCTCTTTATACTTTTTTTTTTGGTCAGTTGTGGGGTTTGAACTCTGGACTTGGGTGCTGTTCGTGCGCCCTTCAGCTCAAAGCCAGCACTCTACCTTTGAGCCACAGTGCCACTTCTGGTTTTCTGGTTAATTGGAGATAAGAGTCTCACGGACTTTCCTGTCTGGCCTGGCTTTGAACTTCGATCCTCAGATCTCAGCCTCCTGAGTAGCTAAGATTACAGGTGTGAGCCACTGGTGCCCTGCTTATACTTTTTTTTAAAATTTACTGAAAATCCTAAAGAGTTTTTACATGGAATATACCTGTCAATATTGATTTTAGATACTACAACAAAGTTTTTGTTAAAACCATAACTTTATTTCAATCTGTTAACATAGCATATTTTTTTAACATTAATTAGTGTTCTTTCCAAAGCAAAAACATCTTAGTGAAAAGGGCACCTTAGTTTTCCATTTATTTATCTAAATCTCAATGAATAGAGGACAAATTGGGTATTCATATCCAGTTCTACATCAGATCTATTGTTTGTCATTTCAATTAAAGTCTATGAAGGAAATCTACCTTCACAAAGCCAGGGAGTTGGGAGAGGTAGTGTTGATTTACAACCTTTGTTATTTAATAGTTTTGGTAGTACTGGGGTTTGAACTCAGGGCCTTGTGCTTGCTGGGTATGCGTTCTAACACTCCTCTAGCATTCCTCCAGCCCTTGAACAGCCTCATGAGATTCTTGTTTTGGAAAGATGCAAGTTTCAACTCACAGTTCACCATTCTTCCATTGCTCTGGTGACTTAGTAGGCACTGGGGGTGCTTTGTGTGCATTTCTCATTTATTTAACAGAATACTACAGTAAAAGCTGTATAGTCAATAGTCATGAGTTTAAAGACAAGCCAGTCATCCTTACCTTCCATCTTGAGCGTCTCGTGAAAGCGGGAGTGCGTGAATCCATACCTGCATTTCAATTACGGCTTCTCCATGCCCATTCACATTCTAAAATACAGGTAAAAACCAGGCTAGAATGAACACGAACCAAGCCCTAAAGCAGGGAGGGTGTGGAGGACACGTTGAGGAAATGATCTCACTGATTTGCCCTTGCTCTGGTGACCTGTAGTTATGAGCTGGTTGTGTTCATCAGGATTTTATTTTTGCCCATACCCAAATGAATACCATCTATCACCCCACTGGCTTCACTGAGGGGACTGGGTAATACTGGAGAGCAGGGGGCAGTAGGAGAAGTCTTACTAAGTTACCACAGACCTGCCAGTTCGATTACATCTGCTTACTGAACTAATATGCAATGAATAACTGCAAGCATACATGAAAACGAACTTCCCTTGAAACAGAAAAATGACATTAATGGCATCTGTTGGCTTTCCACAGGCGGTGAAGGAAATGGAGACAACCATGTGGCACTGCTGGACCATGTACCCCAGCCTGGATCATCCAGAGAAAACGCCACAGAACCACAGGACATGTTAGTGGAAATCATGGTGTCAGGTATGGAAAGTGTGTTTCCCAGTCCAGCTCTGGTTCCAGCAATTTTCATTCTACCCAGTATTCTGAATTATCTTACCTGGATTTTGACTACATTTACACAAGGCTTAGGAAAGTGAACTTGGGTATCCAGTTCTTCTCCTCTGAGTTGTGTCCAGCCCCACACTAGACTGCACATGAACTGTACACATTGAGAATCTTTGAGGTAAATATTCTTTAAAGAAATATACCTTGGAAACCAGGTACTAGCAGCTCATACCTGCCATCCTAGTTACTCAGAAGATCAAAGTTCAAAGATCTACAGACCAAACGTCAAAGCCAGTCCCAGTAGAAAAGTTCTTGAGATTTTTATTTCCAAGTAGAGGTGCGGATCAAGTGGTAGAGCACTGCACTTGAGAGAAAAAAGCTAAGCCCTATTTGGGCATACACATGCGTGAGCGTATGCACACACACACACACACACACACACACACACACACAAATGGCTTTCCTTCTGATTCTTACAACCATCATAGGAAAAGCAGACCTAGCAGAAATTGCTAGAAAGTGAACATAGGCATTCTGTTCAGAACTAGATTAAGGCAGAAAGAAGCCTAGCTTCAGCATATCCTTCCTGCAATTGTGCAACCATTGTGTTTCATATGCAAAGCTAGCATCAGGCTTGCAACTTAACACATAAACTCCTGAATCATAGTCTAACAGGACAATTCTGCAAGCGATTTCATTTCAATTTATTTCATTTCATTTTGTTCCAGAAGTGGGGTTTGAAGTCAGGGCCTGAACTCTGTCCCTTAGCTTTTTTTGGCTCAAGGTTGGTACTCTACCTCTTGAACTACAGCTCAAGAAATGAATTGGAGATAAGACTCTCACAGACTTTCTTGCCTGGGCTGGCTTTGAACCACAGGTCTCAGTCTCATCAGTAGCTAGAATTAACAGGCGTGAGCCACCAGCACCTGACAGCAAGTAATTTTAAATATCTTGGGCAATTGGATATTGTCCAATGTGCATTCTGCACTTAGACATCCTGAGAGTCGTGAGTGACAGAAGGTGACCAGGCAAGTGTGACAGGCCAGTGTTCCCACAGGAACCTTCTTCTTGCTCAAGTAGCTAAGCAAACCAAGCACAGCCACCCAGCGTGTGCAGTCACGTGGTACCTGCTGAGGTCCTTTAACCTTCTGTGATTGATGAGCCAGTTTGGAGGGCTTCTTTTGTTTCTTCTGTATCCAGATGAACAAAGATACCAGTGAGGAGATGGATGATGGTTGTTTATAGATTCTCCAACTCCAAAGAAAAGGGGGAGTGGGTGGCATTTGAAGAATCACTATGTACATAGGTAGTGAAAGCCACAAAGGAAAAGAAAAAGAAAAAGAAGCAGCCAAGGAAAGCCTGCTCCTGTTTATGGCTCAACAAGTAGGGTTGTCCCCTGGAGCCCTAGCATTTCAGCGAAGTATGACAGCATCTAACTTGTGTGGTTCATGACTTTCTCACAGTGCCTGGAGGCTTGAAAGTCTCTGCATCAATCTTGCTAATAAGCACGTGCTATGACATACATGTTCTATTATGCATGATAGATGATATTCATAAATTGATAATAAATCGTTTTACCATTTGAACTCTAACATATAAAGATCAAAGTGTTTCGTACTAATCTGTGTGTCTTTGGGGGAGAGAATAAATCTTTTCCTTGTATGCCACAATGGTTGGGTTTTTTTTTTTCTTTTTTTTCTTTTTGCCAGTCTTGGGGTTTGAACTCTGGGCCTGCGTGCTGTCCCTGAGCTTCTTTTGCTCAAGCCAAGCACTCTACCATTTGAGCCACAGCACCACTTCCAGCTCTTTTTTTTTTTTTTTTTTTGAGTAGTTTGTTAGAGATAAGGGTCTCATGGAGTTTCCTGCGTGGGCTGGCTTCAAACTGCGATCCTCAGATCTCAGCTTCCTGAGTAACTAGGATTACAGGCGTGAGCCGCCAGCACCCAATTGGTTGGGGATTTTTAAGGAAAAAATTTCTTTTGAAATTTAATGCTATCTATTTCCTAACAAAGTTATGGCTCAAACTTGGAAATGCTTTTAAAACATGACAAGCTGGGTGCTGATAGTTTATATCTATAATCCTAGTTACTCAACAAAGTTGAGATCTGAGGCTAAGAGATTCAAAGCTAACCTGGGCAGGAAAGTCCATGAGACTCTAATCTCCAATTTAACCACCAAAAAGCTGACAGGGGAACTGGGGCTCCAGTGGTAGAGTGCTAGCCTTGAATGAAAAAGCTCAGGGACAATTAATGTCTGGGCCCTGATCTCAAACCCCAGTACTGGCACCCAAAACAAAACAACAGAACAGAAGTTGCAAACAAGTTCACACAGGGCACTTTGAACTCATGTAAGACGAAGTTTAGCTGGACATGGTGGCACATGCCTGTAAGTCCAGCCTTCAGGAAGGTCTTGAATTGGAGGCTACATAGCCTCCAATTGGCCTACATAGCCAGATTTTGTCTCAAAAAAATCTGAAGAAGCCAGGCACTGGTGGCTCATGCCTGCAATCCTAGCTAATCAGGAGGTTGAGATCTGAGGATCAAAGCTCAAAACCAGCCTGGGCAGGAGACCCTTATGAGACTCCTATCTTCAATGAATCACCAGAAAATGGAAGTGATACTATGGCTCAAAGTGGTAGAACACCAGCCTTGAGCAAAAAAAGCTCAGGGTCAGCGTCCAGGCCCTGAGTTCAAGCCCTACGACTGACCAAAAGAAAAAAGAAAAGACTGAAGTTTGTTGAGAGCATGTAAACAGAATCATGTGGCCTATAAATCCTATAATATAAATGTAGCTTACAAGGCAACTAGATGTTTCTATTTGGTGGACCAGCCTGTCCCAGAACTTGCACAAAAAAGTGTTGGAATGTTCTCTACAACCCTAGGCACTGAATTCCATTGTCTCTCACCTGGGGAGGTCTGCAGTAATGGAAGGGGTTCTTGCTGTTTGTAGATGGAGATGACTGTGGCCCTGGCGGATGCGGCAGGCATGCCACGTGTGCATCTGAAGGAGAGAATGCCACCTGTCGGTGTTTGCAAGGCTTTGCCGGTGATGGAAAAGCATGTTTTGGTAAGAGCCAGGGTCAATCAAAACGTGTGATCCCCAAACCCACTTTCCTCTCCATCACTTGAAATCTCCAGAAGGGTTTATGTGATCAGCAGATTTAAGTAAGCTATTTGATGTTAACTTTTAAAAAGGGACATCCATAGAAATCGAGACTTACCGACATATCTATATGTAATAGCGACACATATTACATGAAGTGCATATTAAAATGATGCACTCAATATGGAAGAGGAAGAATTTATAATGAGCTCTAAAAGTGTGAATCTGAGCTCAGGGCAAATTTGTAAATTCACCAATGCCAAAGAAAGTAGAACACTTCCCCCACAGAAGCTTCGTGTACAAGTTCTAGTTGAACACCTAGGCTAGGATAGATTTCTAGTTTATATTTTAACTTCAATAACCTCAAAATGCTAAGTTAGTGATTACTGGAAAATAGTCTGCTCTGACTCTCTGGCAGGAAGTGATTTATTTGCACACACTTGGCTATTGGGCACGTGGGAACTCAGGATAAATCAATTCAAAAGTGAACTTCAAAAGTTGGGTACCAGTGCTCACAACTGTAGTCCAAGCAACTCAGGAGGCAGAGATCCCAGGATTGTAGTTCAAAGCCAGCCTAGGTAGGAATGCCTGTGAGACTTTTTAATCTTCAATTAACCAAGAAAATACCAGAAGTGGAGGCGTGGCTAAAGTGATAGAGTGCCAGCCTTGAATGAAAAAACTAAGAAGAAGTGTCCAGGCCATAAGTTCAAGCCTCAGTTCTGACACACATACAAAAAAAAAAGTGGGCTTTATATCCAAGAAACAAGGTGTGAATTCTACCTCCCAGCAGTACCTGTCAGGGGCTGTATCATTTCTTCAATCCCCATCATGGCAGGATTGCTTGAGGATGACACTCATTTACACTTCTGCCTGCAGATATTGATGAATGCATGCTGGGTACCGCAGCCTGCCCACCGGCCTCTTCCACATGCATTAACACCGAAGGCAGCTACGTGTGCCGGTGCTCAGAAGGCTTCCGAGGAGATGGGATTCACTGTCTGGGTGAGAGGGCTCAGGAGAGGGATGGGGGGGGAGGGGAGGGGGGAGTGGAATCACTAAACATTATGTGTATGTTGGGCCATAAGATTGACAGCATATGATTGATTGAGTGACACACATCTCAAGTCCTTTCATAAGAGGACTTGTGCAGCTGTTCTGGTCTTAGGAAAGTCTCCTTGCTGTGCTTGGCCATGCCTACACTAGCCAGCTTCCAGCCTCTTGGAGAGTTGAGTGACCCAATGTCTAGTGGGAGTTCTGTGGCTTGGGCCATTAAGACAGACCTGGGCAGCCTTTGTTTGTCACTGCATTTGGTGATCAGAATATAGAAAGTTGCAGGGCCGTTGTGGGTGACTGGGAATCACAGCTGTAGGGAGAAAGGATGAGTAGTTTTTTGACTCGTTTTATTGAGTATTTATTTATTGGGGCTTGAACTCGGGGCCTGGGCACTGTCCCTGAGCTTTTTTAAACTCAAGGTTGGTGCTCCACCACTTGAGCCACAGCTCCTCTTCCAGGTTTTTGGTGATTCATTGGAAATAAAGAGTCTCATGGCCTTTCTTGCCCAGGCTGGCTTTGAACTTTCATCCTCAGATCTCAACCTTCTGAGTAGCTAGGATTACAGGCGTGAGCCATTAGTGCCTGACTTCATCCAGTGTTTCTTGATAGATCATTCAATGGGACATTCGAGCCACTGCCATTTCGCTATGAGGATAGGGTGATGACACTCACTTTCGTCACCAGCCAAGGTTTAGGTGGGTCTGTGAGGGGGGAGTTTGCCCAGCGGTCACCTTCTGCCTCTCAGCCGTCACCGTACAAGTGGAGACATGTTGGAGCCACACGCACCCAGAACAGCAGTCAGCTGAAGTTTCTCAAGACGTTCTAAGTCCTCTTCAAATATTTTTCTTTTCTTCTTCTGAAAACAAAACAAAATCTGATCACAGCAAAGGACAGAGGCCCCGATAAGAAACTCAAATGATGCCCACACGGAAGGTTCAAGAAGAAATAAATACCTATCACAACTATCCATTTTCTAGATCTGCTGGGCTTAACCCAGACCTTTATCAGACTACTCCTGTGGAGTCCACAGACATTTGACACGCTCTTTAAGTACATACTTGGCTGGCAGTCAGGAAAATGTCAGCCTCCAATTAAGCAGGCTCATAGAGAATTTAGACAAACAGACTTCATATTTCATTTCTTGTGAAGAGCAAAGAAGGTGTCCTTTCTGGAATTTTTTTTTAACTCAATGGACTCAATTTTTTTTAATATTACTAACCCATCTGTAGTATTAAGCATGCCCTAGGTGTTATGGTCTTGTGTGTCTGGTCAACATAGGATTCTTTGGCCCCTGGAAGCCACAGGGATCTCTCTCTTTCTCTCATTCTTTCTCTCCCTCCCTCCCTCCCTCCCTCCCTCTCTCTCTCTGTGTTTCTGTTTTTCTCTCTCTGTATTTCTCACTCTCACTCTTTGTGTGTCTGACTGTTGCTCTGTCTCTTTCTCTGTGTTTGTTTCTTTCTCTATGTTTCTGTTTTTCTTTCCCTTTCTGTATTTCTCTCTCGTCTCTCTTTTTTTCTCTCTCTCCCTCTCCCTCCTTCCATGGATGTATGTAGAGATGAAATGCTTTGAACTATCCCTGACACTTAAATGCTATGTAGAAGTTGTGTTATTGTTCTTATTGTCTTGGCCAAGAGTACATCTTTGTTTTGCTTTCTGGAGAAGCTCCTTCTCCCTCTCCCAAGGTGAGAGAAGATTTATAAACTCGAGATTATAACAGAAAGCCAGGATGGAAAAACAAACAAACAAAACCACAAAGAAATAGGAGTCTGCTGAACTATTTGGGAGCAGGATAGCGATTCAAGGTGGTGGCCAAGATGAGGAAGCCAAGCTTCTCATGCAAGGAGAAAATAACCTTAAGTCAAAACAGCTGTGGTAAATGAGAACAAAAGGTGCATGTCATGAGAGAAGGAAAAAAAGAAGAAGAACTAAACACCATGGAAGCTTTAGAATGGGGAGAAAGATCTGAGGGATTGGGCAAGAGTTCATGGAGGAAGTATCACTAAGAAGAGCCCCAGGGAATGAGCAAGTCTTAATTAGGTGGAAACATGAACGGATAAATGGGGGTATTCCAAGCATGAGCAAAGGAGATCTGGGGAGGAGGAAATGGTAGTACTAAGGGCAAGCACTGGATGGGTGGGGGAAAAACTATGCCATAACTAAGTACCACACAGTAGGTGACTTAAGTGATACAAGTTGGTTTTCTCACCAGCCTGGAGGCTAGAAATCCCAGGTAAAGATAATGGGCTAGCTTAGTTCTGGTGAAAGAGAAGGAGGAAGGAAAGAGGGTGAAGAGAGAAAGCCAGAGAGGGAGACAAAAAAGGAAAAAGTGGGGAAGGGAAGAAGGCAGAGGAGAAAACACAGGGAGGGAGAGGAGGAGAAAATATATATCTTCCTGTTCTTTAAGGACAGCCATTCTACTGGATTAAGGCTATCCTCTTCTGACTTCATTTAACCTTAATTCCCTATCTCCAGAAAGTCTCTCTGAGATGTAGAGATTCCCCCTATGAACTTGTGAAGAGACAGGCTAGTCCCTACTGGCTGAGTTGGGTTTTATTTATGGAGGACTGGACTTGGAGGCTCAGTCATTCACACCCCCCTCCCCCCTCCTTGGATTGGCCCTGCTCTAAATTTTCTAGTAGCTATGATTATGAAAAGTAAAAAAAAAAAAAAAGAAACAGGTGAATTACTTTTATGAAGCGATTTTATTTACTCCAGTATATCTAAGATATTACAGCCTAATGATTGAAAACATGATAGGATATCTTGTGTGTGAGTGTGCGTGTTTTGAGTTTTGAGTCTAAGTCTTCAAAATCTGGTGTGTATTTTACAGTTACAGAACATCGCAGAACAGACAGAACTCAGAACTCCAGTGTGGCAACGGCTACCATGTCGAATCCAGTTCCTTTATCTATCTGTCTGTCGGTCGGTCTGTCTGATTAACGATGATTCCCTAAACCTTCTTAGAAGCTGCTGCAGCATGGTGAGAGGAGAAAATGGCCACCTCGGAGACCATTGGATGCGGCGGTAGCAGAATCCTCTTCCTCCTCCGTGCCCCTCTGTTCTCATTCCCACCCCTGCTCTTCTGACAGATGTGGATGAGTGCCAGCTGGGGGTTCATGGCTGTGGAGAGAATGCCGACTGCATGAATACGGAGGGAGGCTACACCTGCCAGTGTGCAGGCCTCCCATCTGAACCTGGGCTGCCTTGTCCCGGTAGGTGGAAGGGTGGACTAGGCCCAGCCGGAGGGGCCTGGTGCAGGGATATTCTTGTTGCCAGTTGTGGGGCTTGAACTCAGGGCCTGGGCACTGTCCCTGAGCTTCTTTTGCTCAAACACTTTACCACTTGAGCCCAAGCACCACTTCTGGCTTTTTCTGTGTATTGTGATACTGAGGAATTGAACCCAGGGCTTCAGGAGTGCTAGGTAAGCGCTCTACCACTAAGCCACATTCCCAGCCCTGGTGCAGGGATATTCTGTGCCTTAGAGATTCTTAGAAATCATTCTGTCAATCAGGCTGCAGAACTGCATTTCTTTATTGGGCTGATGCTGGCCTGGAGATCCCCAAGAGGTCCAGGCTTCCTTCATTCTGTAACATATGGAATAAATCCTTTGTTTATTACTCCCGGGCACCTAGGTGTGTTTTGTTATTTTTTCCTGTTGAACTATGTGACTAATCTCCTGAATGGTGAAATTGATTTCTGAGATTGTTGGAGAAAGGTTTTTGTGAGGTTTTTTGTGTTTTTTTTTTTTTTTTTTTTTTGCCCAGGCTGGCTTCAAACTAGGCTGGCTTCAAACTGTGATCCTTAGATCTCAGCCTCCCGAATAGCTAGGATTACAGGTATAAGCCACTGAATGATGCCTGGTAAAGTTTTTCATCCATACACAAAGACAAGGGTTGTTGGGTGAGAACTTCTTGAAGCTGACATCAGTCTTTCTGGATGGCAGATCTGCTTTTGTATGAGATGAGTGGTCAAATTCATATGGTGATTTGGGGTCAACCATCCTCTTACTTGCTTCCAACATACTTTCTATCAAAGAACCTGTGCCGAAGGAAAGAGGGGTGGGTTGGAAGGGAAAGCTGTTGTTAGTCCTGACAGCTCTCTGTCACTAAGAGACGCCATATCACAACTTATTCCCTAACACTAGTCCTGGTGTTGATACTTGAAAAAGCACCTTAGAAAATAAAAGTAATGGCTGGGAATATGGCTTAGTGGTAGAGTGCTTGCCTAGTATGCATGAAGCCCTGGGTTCCATACCTCAGTACCACATAAGCAGGAAAAGCCAGAAGTAGTTCTGTGGCCCAAGGAGTAGAGTGCTAGCCTTGAGCAAAAGAAGCTCAGGGACAGTAACCACCCAGGCCCTGATTTCAAGCCCCAGAACTGGCAAAAGAAAAGAAAAGAAAAGAAATATCCTTGACTCTTCCAGATTCAACTTCACCCTCTCCCCTTGAGGAAGATGGTCGCCATCTGGTCAGGAATAGCTACCCGGGATGTCCTCCCTCCCATGATGGGTATTGTCTCCATGGCGGTGTGTGCATGTATGTCGAGGCAGTAGACAGCTACGCATGCAAGTAAGTTAAACTACGTTTCCTGTGTGTGCATGTGTATGTGTGTGTATGCGCACGCATGCACCTGCGGGTTTCCGCACGCACACACGCATGCAGGTATGCACATCAGTATTGGGACTGGAACTCAGGGCCTGAATGCTGCTGCTTAGCTCCTTTTGCTCAAGGCTGGAGCTCTACCACTTCATTCACAGCTCCACTTCCAGCTTTTTGGTAGTTAATTAGACCTAAGAGTCCCATAGGCTTTCCACGCTGATTTCGAACTGAGATTCTCAGACAGATCTCAGCTTCCCGAATAGTTAAGATTACAGATGTGAGCCCCTGGTGCCCAGCAGTACACCATAACATTGAAAAATGTTTTAAAACCTTTTCATTGTTTTTTTTAATCCTCATCAAATAATAATGTTACCAAAAGAAATGCAGACATTTGTTTTTTGGATCCATGATACTTTCCTTTAGTTATCAAAATGATTACAGTAGGTTTGGACATATTATACTAGTATAGTGATTTCACTCAGGTTTGATAACTGTCCACTCATCCAATGGCTGATGAACTCTTTTTTTTTTTTTTTTTTTGACAGTCATGGGACTTGAATGTAGGGCCTGGGTGCTGTCCCTAAGCTTTTTGCTTAAGCCTAACACTCTACCACTTTGAGTCACGCTCCACTTCTGGTTTTCAAGCAGTTAATTGGAGAAAAGAGTCATGGACTTTCTTGTCTGGGTTGGCTTTGAACTGCTATCCTTGGATCTCAGCTACCTCAGTAGCTAGGATGACAGGTGTGAGCCACCAGCACCTGGCTCAATGAACTCTTTGACACTCTGCTTTTCTTTTTTCATGAAATCTCCATGAAAAGATCATAGTTTCCTGGTGCTTTTTCAACCCTACAACATGACAAGTCTGTAGTTAACACAGCTAAGGACCTTTCATCAAAAAGTAATATTGAAACTGTCACCAGCATTCATGGTATTTGGACCATAACCTTGTTTCTGAATTGTACATTTAATTAAAAAAAAAACATGGTTTAATCAAACATTCAAACCTTCCCTCCTTTGTCCTGCTGATTTTACCTTATGTTTGATTAATTCCATAATAAGAAACCTCAGGCGGTGCTTGTAGCCCAGACTCTCTTGGAAACATTTCCTGGCATCTTTCTCCACAGGAAAGGCTTCTTCCGTGCTTAGAAGGAGATAGGGAACCAGGCCATCTGATGACCCATAGGGAGGAGATCTGCCATGCTCACGAACCAGTGCTCCTCTGAGCTTTCCTAGCCTAGAGTCTAAAGACTTCCCAAATCTCTGGAGCCCAGAAAATATCCTTGTTCATTCTGACTGGGCCTTAGCCCAAAATATCCTTCTGGCAGGCCAGCCCCTTCTCCAGGGCTGTGAGGTTTCTTGATGACCAACTTATATGGCCACATCAGTTTGAAAACAGCTGTAGATTCTAACTTTCAATTTCTGATTAATGGCATCCCACCCCACCCCACATGAAAAGGTCTTGTTTATCTTTCTTTAGTCTAGATTGTCTTAAAATTATATGATCGTGGAAAATTCAAGCTTATTTGGCCAAGCAGACTTTTGTTTGGTTAAGCTAAAGGACAAATTAATAATCTAAAGAACCCCTAGTTTAACCTTATTTCCACCCCTTGTAAACCGACCTCAGTGCTGGCCCTCGTACGGTGCGGCCCTTGCTATTAAGCATAGCTTAACTTTGGTCATGATTGACATATTTCTCAAACCCTCCAAACCTTGGAGAGGCTCAGTGGTATCATCCAGTGACACCCTGTAGTTTAGAAGTGACTGCTACATATCACTGAAGGTTGCTAAATGTAAAACAGAACACCCAGGAACACAAAGAGAGGGAAGCAGATGAAGCTACTCCAAGAAATTACTGTGTATGTACAGAAGTAGACTAATGACCCCCATTAACTTGTGTTTAAGGAAGGGGAGGGAGAATTAGAAGGTGTGAATAGAAGGTGTGAATTTGATCATAGTACATCATAGGGATGTATGGAAATGGTATGGTAAAGCCCCTAATGACAGAGAGGAGGAGGGGGGGGGAGACAAGGAAGGAGAGAAGTAGAAAGACTTGGGGAGGGGAGAATATTGAGGATAGGGGAGGTGATGGGAGGCGAGGGGAAAGACCAGCCTCCAGTAGAGCTTGAAATAACCTGGGAATCCTTCACGCACCTACCTTAGGTCTTCCCCTAACATGCCTGGGCAGTTCTAGAATAATTTTCCACAGGTGACTAGGTCTTACAGTCCTTCTGAAAACAGTGGGGTGTGGGAGGAAGATTATGGTTTTTCACATCATTGGGTCACTTGAAGCAAATCTCATTCATTAGCAGAGTAACCTTGTACTGATTACTTCCTTGAGCCTCATTTCCTTGCCCGTTCAATGGGAACACACCAGCTTCACATCAATGTGCTTGGCATGATGTCACCCATTCATAAATGCTTGTTCCTCTCTCTCTTTCCTCTAAAAGTGACCTTCTAGTCTTTTATGACAGATTAATGGCAAAAGTAGGATTGGACTCTAGACCTTCTGGAACTTTCTCCAGTGCTTCTTTCATGCTGCCTCTCCCTACATGGGAGGTGGTATCCATTCTGAGCATCTTCTTCGATGCACTGGATGTGACTCCAGGGCCAGAGGAGATAGATTGGGAATAGGATGTTTGGAAAGTAGGTGTTCTTATAAGCAAGAATGCCAGTGTCAACCTGACAGTTCTGCCCCATTTGTGAAAACAATCATGCCCAATAGCCCAATAGGTGGCAGCATTGTTCCACTTACATTCAAGATGAAAGTAATAACTTGATGGCTGATCATTCTAGTAACGATTTCCATGATACCATAAGCTGTTCAGGGATGAATAATGACCCTTGGTTTTCTTCCAAATAGTTTGTTCCTCCTTGAAAGAAAAGTAGGGGACATGTTAAATTGTAAACCTCCTTGTCCAGCCTTTTGAAGTTCAGAAAATTTGAAAAAAAAAAAAATAGGCAAATGCTATGGGTTCCCATTGACACTTTTTGCTTATGCTGGCAATATATATATATATATATATATATATATATATATATATATATATATATATATATATATATATATATATATATATATATATATATATATTTTAATGGAAGAACTATTCCTTCCAGTTTGGAGATTATGTTTCCTGCCCTGGGACTGTGTACGGTTTTATTGTTTTGTTTTAGTCAGTACCAGGTTTTGAGGCTTTGATCTCAGGGCCTTGTATCTGCTTGGCATATTTGCTAAGGTTAGCACTCTACCACTTGAGCCCCACCTAGTCCCAGCTTTTGCCTGATTAATTGGAGATGAAGTCCCTCAGACTTTTCTACCCAGGGTGCCTCTGAACCATAATCATCTGTATCTCTGCCTTCTGAATAGCTAGGATTACAGGTGTGAGCCACTGGTACCTGGCTTCAGGTTCTTCCAACCTTCAGCTTACGCTCATGGCAATGTGGCCTCAAATTTGTTTCTGAAACTCCCCCTGAGTCTCAGGGAAAATTTGCTGTGTGTTGGTTTTAAAGGTTAGTCCTTAGGATTTTAGCCCAAGAGGAATGCATCTTTAATCAATGTTCTCTTCTACAGGCAGGATGCAAAGAATCCTCCGTCCATCCCAGGGTGGACTGAGTGAAGGAGAAATCCTGTGTCATTAACATGTAGCTATAGTGCTTTCCGCTCACCTGGGATGGGTTTTCCCTCTCCGTGAGCATGTGGGGCTGAGTCTGGAGATGGAGATGTTGAGGCTGACGGCCAGCCAGCCAGTTATGGAGTCTTTGGACAGGGGTCTCTGATGATCTGTGTGTGTGTGTCGTCGCAGCTGCGTGGTGGGCTACATCGGGGAGCGATGTCAGCACCGAGACTTGCGATGGGAGCTGCGGAATGCAAGCCACGGGCAGCAGCGGGACGTCACCGTGGTGGCGATCTGCGTGGTGGTGCTGGTCCTGCTGCTTGTGGTCGGACTCTGGGAGGCACGCCAGTACAGGTGAACTTTTCCTCCCATAGCTTCTTTAAGCGCTCTTCCGTCCTCCCGGAGTAAACACCGGCCTCCTTTGGATGAACTACATTGATAGACACACAGACATTTACAGAATTGAATACCATAGATTTGGGGGTGGGTGAGTACTGAGGGTTTGAACTCGGGACTTCAGGCTTGCTAGGCAGGCACCCTACCACTTGAGACAGGCCCCCCCCCCAGCCCTTTTTGCTTTCATTCCTTTTTCAAGAGGGTCTCACTTGGCTTGGACTGTGAGCTTCCTATTTATGTTTTCCCCGTGGCTGGGATAACAAGGGCATACCACTGTACTTGGCCTTTTATTGGTTGAGATGGAGTCTCCTGTACTGTTTACCCAAGTTGACCTTGAGCCCATGAGCCTCCAGATCTCTACCTCTCAAACAGCTGTAAGGACACATGTGAGCCATGGCACTCAGAGGATTCTCTTTTTTCCCCCCTACTTTTTAAGCCCAGAATTTCACTATCCTAAGACAGCTGTGCTTTTACTTATTTAAGTCTTTGTCCATACATAATGTAAATGGTTACTTATTTGCTCACTCATCTGTATATCTTTGCAGTGTTGGGTATGGAAACTGGGACCTAACGTGCTAGTCAGGGGATCTCCACTGAGCTACACCCCAAGATATATGCAGTTAATTCTCATAATGAATTTTTCCTTTAAGGAACATCTGTTTCTACCTTCCCCCACTCCAGCGCCGGTGTAACTAGTTTGTGGTTACATTCCATTATGTTAATTGCCTACAACATATCACCTCTGTTAAAGAAAATAATCTTTCCTAACTTGCAAGGAAGCTCTTGATCCTTTAATTTTGTGTTTTCAATCACTTTAAACAGGTAAAAATTATTGAACAATCATATCCATTTCTTTACAAACAACCCTATGGCCAGGTACCAGTGGCTCACACCTGTAATCCTAGCTACTCAGGAAGCTGAGATCTCAGAATCAAGGTTCAAAGTCAACCTGGGAAGATAAATCATCCAGACTCTCATTTCCAATTAACCAGCAAAAAGCTCCAAATAGAAGTGTGGCCCAAGTGGTAGAGCACCAGCCATGAGTAAAAAAGCCAAGCAAGACTGCAAGGTCCCAAGTTCAAGCTTCAGTGCTAAGCACGTGCATGCATGCAAGCATACACACACACACACACACACACACACACACACACACACTCTTACAAAGCCACTGTGTTAGAGTGCTACTCATTTTCCATTTTCCTTGAAAGTAAGATCGGGTCCCCTACTGCCGTCAATATAGAAAAATATTTTCTGTTTTGTTAAGGTTTGTGCTGGACAAAAATCAGTCAGAAAACTTTTGGGTTCAAGGGGACTTTATAGAATTATCTAGTTCAATCACATCATTTCCTTCCCACTTCACACACAAGTCCCAGTTCTGTGGCAATGAACAGATTACCTGCTGCCACCCACTCATCAAAACCCAATCACAGCCACAGACACTGCACAAGCATGCATATTGTGGAAAATTCAGCAGAAAGAGCCAAGATGCTCCTAGTTGAGATCTTGCTGTATCCTGGTGTAGTGGTTAAAAGCATGGCCTCTGGAATCTGACCACACAGGTTCAAATCCCATCTAATGCCTAAATTAAATCAGACATAGTATCTAACATTTACAGTCATTCATTTTCTTGGCTATAAGATAGGGCCAAGGATAATGTTTATCTCAAGGGCTATTGTGAGTTTGTGTGAATTCATCTAAGTAAAAGTTTAGCATAGGCTGACATATCAAGTTTAATAAATGCTATCTGTAGTTATTATGATTTACTATGAATGATCGTCTTTCCAGTAGGAGGAAGATTCTCCAAGGTATTTTCTACCACATCCAGAGAGACAAGATTCTTGAACATGTGTTTTTGTGGTTTTTTTGGTGGGGGTCTTGTTGGTTGGGATTTTTCTGTTTTGTTTTGTTTTGTTGTGGTGCTGGCACTGGGACTTGAACTCAGAGCCTGGGCACTGCCCCAGAACTTTTGTGCTCAAGGCTAGCACTCTATCACTTGAGCCACAGCTCCACTTCTGGTGGTTTTCCGGTGGTTAATTGGAAGTTAGAGTCTCACAGACTTTCCTGCCTGAGTTGGCTTTTAAACTGCGATCCTCAGATCTCAGCCTCCTGAGCAGCTAGGATTACAGGCGTGAGCCACTGATGCCTGACACTGAAACCCTTTTTCTTTCCATTGCCAATGCATCTAAAGTAAAAACCAGCGTCTGCAGGTCTATGGCTATGTCATGGTGCTGCCCAGGGACCTTATTTCCTGCGGGATATTTTCAGCTATGTGCTGACTGCTTGTGTTCAATTAGTAGCTCTTGATGAGATTCCTGAAAAAGATGTCTGGTTTGTTTTCTTCTGAGACTGTCTCATATGTTTGGCTTTATCTCAGGATTCGGAAGCAGCTATTGAAAAACCCAAAGAATCCTTATGAAGACCCAAGCAGCAATGGTGAGAGCAGCGGCGGTGGTGTGAGCAGCAGCCAGCCTGCCAGCAGCGAGGTGGAGATGCCTTCTTGTCCCCAGCCATGGGTAAGTCAACCAAAGAGGACGAAGCTAGGAATTGACTCAATAGCAATTCTCATTCATTGTTCTCACTCTTCAATGACTAAAAAAACAACTACGAATCTGTTAGACCCTAACAGGATTAACCAACAGCAGAGGAGCTAGGGAGGTCCTGAGTGGGACCTTAATCAAGAAACTAGAGGGATTAAAACAGCATTAGTCAGGTGCTGGTGGTTCGCAAATGTTATCCTAGCTTCTCAGAAGAGCTGAGATCCAGAGGATCGTGGTTTATGGAGTCAACCTGGACAGAAAAGCCCTTGAGACTCTATCTCCATCTGGGATGGAGGAGTGCCTCTAGGGGTAGAGCCAGCTGAGCCAGCAGGCCAAGCAAACCCAAGGACCTGCATTCAAACCATGTTGCGGGATAGGGGATAGGGATAAGGGATGGGGGGTAGGGGGCGGGATAGGGGGGTGGGGGCGGAAAGAACACCTCAGGATGTCATTGCCAGAAATATAGAGACGTTTTTGCTATCATGCATCTTTTCTCTATTACTCAGATTGTTATGCGTTTGTGTGATGTTTCCTTCGATTTCTAGAAGTTCATCCAAATTTCAGATGATGTTAAAACCTCAAGATGCTGCCGCTAGTGTTCCTGATATTTCTTTTCTTACAACATCGTTAAGCCCCTAAACTTAAGTAGCAAATGTGTTGCCAGATTCAACAACCATGAGCACAGGATGCTCAATCTGTATTTATAACAAAATAACCTCCTTCAAGTTAAACTCAAAGTCAAACTAGAGCCTGCCCACGGGCTGTTCTTCATCTGTCAAGCCTATATCTTTCCCTTAGAGCCGAGCAGGACAGAGCTTGAAGAGGCTTTGAGACCCACTCCTGCAACTGGTGTTGGGCCACTAGAGGGCAGAACTGAGGCAAGCTAAGTTATCCACATTTTTAAGGGAACTGCCATTTCCAGAAATGTGTGTGGGGCCTAACCCAGTAGATGCTTAGTGTGCTGATGCTGTTGTTACTGGTTTACATTGTGGAAGTGGCTGTAATAGGTAGCAAGCCCATGGAGGACTGCAGCCTTAGAAAGATCCCACTGAGGCTGGACACCTGTGGCTCATGCCTGTAATCTGAGCTACTCAGGAGGCTGAGACCTAGGTTCGATGGTTCAAAGTCAGCCTGGGCAGGAAAGCCCATGACACTGTTATCTCTAATTAAATACAAAAAAGAGCTGGAAATGGAACTGTAGCTCAAGTGGTAGAGTACTCGCCTTTTGCAAAAAACAGCCCAGGGACATTACCAAGACCCTGAATTCAAGCCCCAGGAGTGGCACGAAACAGAGAACAATGGAGAAGATGATGGAAGGGTGGGCAACAGTATTCCAGGACTTTCCTACATCATCCCCACGTCCCAGCCCCCACCACACCAGGCATTCACAGAGAACAGCCTTCCCACCCCATGGAAACATCTGTTCCCCCAACAGCTGTTATTGGTATTAATTTTTTTGGCTGAACTTGAGTACAGAGCTAAAAAAAAAAACAAAACAGCAGTCCTAGGCCTTAATACCCAACTCACCTCCAGCAAGAGCTAGAACACCTGTGGACTCTGATGCCTTTGGTTGCCTGCTCAGTAATATTCCTTCTCCCTATAAGGGCCTTCAGCTACCTGGCATGCTCAGTTCTTAGCAGCCTCCTCACAGCCCAGGTCTCTCAATTACCCACTCATACTTGATAGGTTACCATGGTGGTATTCATTCAGCTGTTGAATTATAGTTTAATTCATCTCATTTAAATCACAGGGAAAAGACAAACATATAATCTGTGCGTGTGTGTGTGTGTGTGTGTGTGTGTGTGTGTGTGTGTGTGTGTGTAGGGAACAAAGGATCAATATCCCTTATTGCTGTCTGGAACAGCTAGTTGGCTTGGAGCTGAGCTGTGGGTAAAATGCCAGTCTTTCCAGCTTTCCTTGCTGTCGTCCACACCAACTGCCACTGCATGGATCCCAGTGGGTGGGAGAAACACCCAAACTGGATGGAGCACAGTGGAAACAAATCTGCTCCCCCCAGCTGCCTTCCCCATCCGCGGGGCCCAGGATTCTGGGGCCTGTGTGCTCCTGGCAGAGAGGCCCATGGGCAGGAAGTCTGCAGTGCACATTTTCACTGGAGCCAGACATCACCAGCCTGTGTCCTGAAACGACAGACTCCGTGAGTTTGCCATGTGTCACTGCAGAGCCTGGAATGAGAGAGCTGCAAAGGGAGAAACGTAGCGTGAGCAAAAGAAAATGAACAGCACACAGGCAGGAGAGCCACGCTGTCATCAGCCATATCCCTCCCTCTGCCATGGATTCCTTCCTTCATTGTCCCTCCCGTGTGTGTGTGTGTGTGTGTGTGTGTGTGTTGCCTCTGCCAACTGCTGGGGCTTGAAATCTTGGCCTGGGCACTGTCCCTGAGCTTTTTTGCTCAAGGCTAGTTCTCTCTCAATTGAGCCATGGCTCTACAAATTCTGGCTTGTTGGTGGTTCATTGGAGATCAGTGTCTCAGAGATTTGTCTTGCCCTTGCTGGCTTTGAACCGCAACCCTCAGATCTCAGCCTCTAAGTCCCTAGGATGGCGGGCAGGTGTGGGTCACTAGTGCCCAGTCCCCTTCTTCCCTTTCCTTTGAGTTCTGAATTCCCTCCTGTAGAGGCCTCCTCCGACCAGCCAGCCCTTCCCTCCTCAGAACCACTGGGTCATCCTTCCCCCCCGTGTTACTGATTGACAAGAAAGAATGTTGCTAGGCTGTGTCCTTCATCCTGGAGCCCGGCTCATTTCTCTTCTTTCCTGTTACGTTCCATCTATTTTAATAGCTCACCTATCTAGCCTGACTACAACCTATGAGCTCTGCTCAGCCTGCGTTGTAGGAGCCCAGTCTCTTTTGGGTAATCCAAATAATGACAGAAATAATCCTTTTGTTGACTGAAAGGACGTGTTTTTGTTGTCGAATTCTGCTTCCCAAGCTCTTCAACCATGAGAAAGCATGCTGTGGATCCCAGCCAAATAGTTGCACTTTTAGTTGTCCGGACCTATTCATGATTGTGAATTACTCAGAGCTGGGTTGCATGTTTAAATGAGTTATATACATACTACACACATATGTTTGACAAAACATATATTTATATTTATGTGACATTATTTGATCTATGAGCAATACTGAAGATACTTATGGTTTTTTTTCTAGCAGTACTGGTATTTTGAACTCAGAGCCTCACCCTGGTTGGGCAGGCATTTTTGTTTTTGCTTTAGTTGTGTGTGTGTGTGTGTGTGTGTGTGTGTGTGTGTGCAAGTCCTGAGGCTTGAACTCAGGGCCTTGGGCACTGTCCCTGAGCTTTTTTGCTCAAGGCTGCACTACACCGCTTGAGCCATAGCCCCATTACTGGGCTTCGTTTTTGTTTTGTTTTTTGTTTTTGGTAATGAATTGGACTTTTTTGCCTGGGCTGGCTTCAAACCACAGTCCTCAGATCTCAACCTCCTGAGTTGCTTGGATTATAGGCATGAGCCACCAGCACCTGACTTGCTTTAATTGTTTTTTTTTAGATAGTCTTATAGTTTATTCCCAGGGCCAGCTGCACATCATGATCACCCCTCCTGGGCCTCTCAAGTAGCTGGGACTATAGACCTGTCCTACTACCTCTGGCTCCTTTGCTGAGCTGGAGGTTATCACTACTTTCCTGCTGGGGTGAGCCTTGAACCACAATCCTTGTGATCTTTATTTCCTAATTAGCTAGGATTACAGACATGAACCAGTGTCAATGGCTAAGATTCTTTCTGGTGAAATACAATTTGAACTCAGGGCCTCATGTTTGCGAGGCTGGTGTTCTACCACTGAGCCATGTTCCTAGCCTCTGTTTGCCCGGGGTCATTTTGAGATACAGAGGGATGGATTCTTACAGTATAAGAGGGATCTATGATCCAAAAGTTAGGATTCCAAAATTAGAATGGATTGCTTTGTAAAGAAAAATCAAACTAGTATCTAGTAATAGAAAGTAAACACAGGTTCCTACATCCAAGTGGAATCTTTCATTGGTCTGAGAATAAATTTAACAGTCTTTCTGTACACTTTCACCTTTATTTGTGCCAGTACTGAGGCTTGAACTTGGGGCCTGGGCATTACCCCTGAGCTTTCTTTTTGCTTAAGACTGGCCCTCTAACACTTGAGCCACAGCTCCACTTCAGTCTTCTTGGTGGTTAATTGGAGATTAGAGTCTCACAGCGTTTCCTGCTCAGGCTGGTTTTGAACTGTGATCCTCAGGTCTCAGCTTCCTAAGTTGTGAGGATTACAGGTGTACCTGACTTTCCGCAGAATGAATGCCATGGAGCTATAGAATTGGATCAATACACACTGAGCTGATGATGAAGTATAATAATAATATTTTCACTCCTTTCTTTTTCCCTGCAGTTTGTGGTCATAGAGGAACACCAAGACTTTGGGAACAGGATTCATTCCACCGTTGCTGAGAAAGGCCAGACAGCAGAGGTGTGGCCCAGTGGACAGTTCTCTTTACCTGGATCCTGAGTGCTCTCTCGTCGAAGGTCTCATCCGACCGCCTAACCATAATGATGGTTGAATAAGCTATGTGCGCAGCTGGGCTGTGTTGAAATGCCAGAGAAACAAATTTGCGCTGTAGTTCTATCCTCTGTGGGGTCACTGCATTCACACAAAACTCTAGTTGTCACACTGCTGCTAAATCACACTGAACAAGGCCACAGCAAGTGGTTTTCCTCACCTGGGATTAGGTAGGACTTGAAGTCATTCTTGGGGCTGCTGATCTATCCGTCTATCTAAGAGTTGTTTCAGTGACCTTGTAAATGGTAGGAAGCCATTCTTGTGAGTGGAGGTAGACCTGGAATTGCCCTGGGAATTGTTTCGGGGGAATCAAGTCTTATCAGGGCACACTTGCTGTCCGTGATGTGCAGCCAGGTCGCAGAGAAATGGCAGGATCAAACTCTTCTGAAACTCAGTCTATGTCAGGTAGATCTAGACTCAGGCATCCTTTAGTAGAATACTTTAGCAAGAGTGGTGTTGGGATCGACCTTTTGGGATTGAGTCTCACCTACCATCATTCTTTATTTATTTATTTTATTTTTTTGAGGAGATAGGGGCAGTACTAGGGCTTGAACTACAGGCCTTGTGCTCTCTCTCTCAGCTTTTTCCGTTCAAGGTTGGTGCTCAGCCACTTGAACCACGCTGCTACTTCCAGAGTTTTGCTAGTTCATTGGAGATAAGAGTCTTACAGACTTTCCTTCCCTGGCTAGCTTCACATTGCGATCCTCAGATCTCTGCAGTCCTCCTGAGTGGTTAGGATTATAGGCGGCAGTCTCAGATGCCTGTCTCATCATTTTTTGTTACCTTCCAAAGGACCTTGTGAAATGTGCTTCTGTGTCATAAATCTTTAGGAAGGTTTCTAAAGAATCTTCAAGACAACAAAAACAGTTCCCCTGCAAATGAAAGGAGACAGCAAAGTCTGAATGCCCTTTCATTTTCTGGTATTTCCCTTCTTGCCTTCTTCTACCAGCTTCTTTACAGAAACAGCGTAAGGTTCTTATTCTAGAAAACTCACTCTAAATCCTACTCTCATGCTTATTCTTCCCAAGCGCTGAATTCAATAGAGCTTTATTGCCAGTCCTGATGATAAAGGTACACTTAATAATTGAACAGAAAAAATACAAGAAATCCTAGTTTTATGTGTAATAACTGTTGCCTGGGCAACTTAAAAGTATTTTCAACAGTTGCTCTGGCTTTGTGGTTATTACTAGACAGTAATGCATACGTGGTGGTTCATGGTACTTTTTCTTGGGCAGCTAATAGCACACAGTTCTTTTCTTGCATTGGTAATTGACTTTAGAAGTACATATAATTTTGGAAGTCCATCAGTAGCAGAATGATTTGTCAACAGTATGGTTATTTGCAGACAAGAACTAAGGGCTCATTGTGGTTAGATGGTTACTTGGGGACAAATCAAAATGTCTGCATTTTTGCATATTCTACTAAGAATATCTTGACCCATTTTTTATTTCCTTCCTTCCTTCCTTCCTTCCTTCCTTCCTTCCTTCCTTCCTTCCTTCCTTCCTTCCTTCCTTCCTTCTTTCCTTCTTCCTTTCCTCCTTTCCTCCTTCTCCTCCTCTTCCTCTGTCTCCTCCTCCTTCTTTCTTCCTCTCTCTCTCCCCCCATTTCTTCCTTTGGCAGGTTCTGGGTGTTTACCTTAGCATTGTTGCTCAAGGCTAGCGAGCTACCACTAGAGCCACAGCTCCACTTTTGGCTTTTTGGTGATTAACTGAGGATAAGAGTCCACAGACCTTTTTTGCCCTGGCTGGTTTCAAACTGTGATCCTTGTATCTCAGCCTCCAGGATAGTTAGGTCTAGTTTACAGGCATGCACTCAGCTTTGACCCATCTTTGAGATTCTTTTCTGTCTCCCATGTGTGATCCCATCATCCACCCTGAGCAGCTGCTCTTCCTGTTGGCGTTGAGTAGGGAGATCGTGTGGAAAGGCCAGGACAACTCTGGCTCTGACCCAATTCCTTCTCTGCTCTTGGCAAGTCCAGACAAACAGAGCCACTGAACCATCTTCATCCACCTTGCCCGACACCAACAGCTGCAAATTAGGGGAAGAGCATCTGCTGGGAAAAAGGAACCCAGGTGCACCAAAACCCTGAGCTTTGCTCCTGAGTCATTTCTGGTCCAGCTGAGAAGCTGAGAGTACACAGAGAAAACTCGAGGGAAGTGGCTTGGTTCTCGGAATCATTTCTTCCAATCAAGACTATTTTCCCTGTTAAAAGTTGAGCTTGGAATCGATTGATAATCAGTTTCTTTTGTGTATCCTCAAAATAATTCCTCCCCCTCCTCTTTCTCCTCCTCCTCCTCCTTCTTTCTCATCTCCTCTTCCTCCTTCTTCTCCCTTCTCACCCTCCTCTTTCTTTCTTCCTGCCATCTTCCTCTACCCCATCTCCCCTTTTTTCCTTTCCTTTATTCCTTCTCTTCCTTCTCCTCCTCTGTGTCCTCTTTCTCCTCCTCAACCCTCCTCCTCCTCCTTTATCCTCCTTCTCCCCCTCCTCCTCTTCTTCTTCCTCCTTTTCTTCTTCTTCTTTGTTTGGGGTCAGTGCAGGAGCACCCCCACACACACACATACACGTGGGCACATAGCAAGGCTCTGTTCTGGCTGCCACCATCCAGTAGTAATGGATCTAGTCCCTAGGTAAGGCAGGGAAGGAATTTCGTCTGTCCTCCTCCTGGGAAATGTGTGGAGGCTGGGGAGCCCTATTCTATGCTGTCATCAACCCATTGTGGCAACAATGGGGTGCAAGTCTACCAGGCCAAACAGAGCCAAGTCAGTGAACACTGGAATTAAAGGACATATCAAGCAGAGTAAACCATGTCAATGGATGTTGTATTTTCTTTTAAAAAGTAGAGGACTATGATTTCTTTGGGTTCTCCAGTCTCTGTAGCCAATCACGTTCTCTGCCCTAGAGGCAGAGGAAGGGCTGTGATTTGGTTTCCTACTCCATGCAGGCTCAAGGCAGGTGGTCCCATAAGAGAATGAGCAGCTCTAAGTAAAGCTCAGCGAGACAAACAACTTCAATGGGTTTTGGGTTTTGTTGTTTGTTTGTTTTTGAAGCCTCAGTGGGAATTTGGGCTTAAAGCAAACAATACACTAGTTTGGTCAGTTGCAAAATAAATTCTCTGATCTGAAGAGAACCTCCAACTTAATCTCATGGAATGGTTGAACTGTAACAATTAAGGTACCTTGTATCACTGGTGTGGTCCATGCTGGTAATTTGCCATAATGAATTGGGAGAAATGAATGAAAAAGGTAGCATCCTACAAGATGATCTCAGAATTAGATCTCTTACTTTTGTATTTTAAATCTTTTGAAAATATTTATTATTTTCAATTATGAGATTGTAAGCAAATTGCCTGATGGATAGTCATTGAATTCTCTTAATTATTTAAATAAAATCATCACAAAATGCTTTGCTGTCTACTTGGTCAAGCAATGAATTAGAACAAAACCAGTGATTTGGGGGCTGGGAAGGTGGCTCCGTGGTAGAGCGCTTGCCTTGCATGCATGAGGCCCTGGGTTCGATTCCTCAGCACCGCATAAGCAGAACAAAAAAGCCTGAAGTGGTGCTGTGGCTCAAGTGGTAGAGCACTAGCCTTGAGCTGAAGAGCTGAGGGACAGCGCCCAGGCCCAGAGTTCAGGCCCCATGACCAGACCCCCAAAAACCCAAAACAAACAAACAAACAAAAAACCAGTGATTTGTTCAGCTGGCTACTATGATTTTTTTTTTTTTTTTTGGTCAGTTTTGGGGCCTGAACTCTGGGCCTGGGTGCTGTCCTTCTGCTCTTCAGCTCAAAGCTAGCATTTTACACTTGAGCAATAGCACCACTTCTGGCTTTTTCTGCTTATGTGGTGATAAGGAATTGAACCCAGGGCTTCATGCATGCCAGGCAAGCTCTCTACCACTGAGTTACCTTCCCAGCCCCTGACTTTTTTTTTTTTAGGAATATTTGAAATCTAGAACTCTCACTTCATGAAGTTAATCTTTACACACTACACTACTCAGTATTTTCCTGTGATCAAGGCATTGCTACATCAGGTAATATAATGTACTGATACAGTAATTCAAATTAATTGGCAGCTTTGGATCATTGAGATGATGTGTTAACTGGTTCTTGTGACTATTTTTCCTCTCATTTCTCCTTGGAATTTTGGTTATTAAGAATAAAAAGAATCAATGCATATGCTTTCAAATGGACCCTTTCTAGAATTGTGGGTAAATATTTGGTGATGGTTAAATTTTGATAATTTGAACTTTGTGGATAGTTGTTAACCATGCCCCCAGCTAATTTCAATTATTCTGATGTCAGCTTTGCTTTAAATGAGGAATCAGAAGATCCATCTGTATGTGTGTGCATGTGTGTGTGTGCGCATGTGTAAGTGAGTGCACACACATGCATATGCCAGTGCTGAGGCTTGAACCCAGGGCCTGAATACTGTCCCTTAGCTTTTTTGCCCAAGGCTGGTGCTCTACCACTTGAGTCACAGCTTCACATCCAGCTTTTAGATGGTGAATTGGAGATAAGAGTGTTGTGGGCTAACCTGCCAGGACTGGCTTTGAACCTCAGATCTCAGTCTCCCACGTAGCTAGGATTACAGGCAGGAGCCACTGGTGCCCAACTTCCATCTTTAATTTGTAACAAGTGAACTTACTTCAAGAAAAGTAGTAGTTCTAATTTCCCCAAGTATTTTCTCCCTTAAATGTGATCTTTTTTATTTTCCTCTAAAAGTGAACATTATTGGGGCCTTCTGGGTGGGGATTACATTTTTGTATTTTAGTACTTCTTTTAGAATTTCAAGAATAACCAAAGAAATGATAGAGACTATACCAACATCTTTGAACCAGAAAAATCCCTGTTCTCTTTAAGTAGTTCAGTGGTCTGATACCTTAGAAACCAGGGCCATTTTAGGAACTTGTCCTAGCTCCTTCCCCCATATTCCCAGCTCTTTGGTCAGCTTAAAGAAAAAGCATCCTTTGTGCTCTTCAGCCAACAAGTCACAAGAAGAGATGTCTTCCTGTCTTATAGCTCCACCGGAAGAGTTCTTACTCATTTTAAAAAAGAGCATTTTCCTCTAACATACTTAATTTACACTTGATTTACATTTTCTCCAGACTGAATATTTTGATTTCCTAACTTTAATGGTCTCATTGTACACAACACTTGAGATTCTATTTAACTAAATGTCATGGCGCCTACTGCTTATGGTTTAAGCTTCTGCCCTCCTGTAGAATGCCTATTGGAGGTTCAGGATACTGTAGTGTTTTGATTTTTTTTTTTATTCTATAAGGGTTCCAGTGCTTCCTAGTAGAGCTTTGATGAATATATATATATATATATATATATATATATATATATATATATAAAATAACTGAAGATGTAATAGTTACACTAAATAATAAATCCTTAAACACATACCCCAAACCCCAAGCAAAACAGCAAACTGGCTGGAAAAAATGAAAACTAATCAATGTAAGTAGTTGTGACAGGTACAATGTTTCTGCTATGTTCCTTTTACTTCTTCTCTCCCCCAGCCCCCTGTTTTAACTTCTTAAGTGAGAATCTTTCTTTGCATTTCTGAGCTCTTCAGTTCCAGGCAGGCCGGAGGCAGAGCCCTCTCCTGTCAGAACTTGACAGGGTTTCTCTGGCTAGAGGCTCTAAGCTACCAGCAAAGCAAACAACTAAGTGTTACATGCCAGGAGCTGGATAAGGTGTCAAGTAAGAACATTCTCTGTAGCCGGTAGTTCAGATCTGTGTGTTTTTGTATTCCAGTTGGTTGTGGACAGATGTAACACAGGTGCCAGCTAATCCTCTCTCTTTCTTCTGGTAATGGATGGCAGGCAGGCACCATTCACTTACTTGATGTTTAGCGGGTCTTCCTGCCTTTGGCCTTGATGCACAGCAGTGATCTCAGGCTCAGCCCCAGGCCTGGGTGCACCAGCCCTCTGTGGACTTCTATGGAGCTCTGCTGTAAGTTCCCACTGGGGAGGCTGTGTGTGCCTGGCTTCATAGCTTTTTCCGCCAAGCCCAACTTGTCTATGTATCCATTGCATCCTGAGCCCTGATCACTGACTCTACTCTAACCCTCAGTCCTCTTTTTAGACCATAGTGGCCTAGCTCCTTTTGCAACTGATATTTAATTCCTAGAATAAGTGACCTGCTACATAATATT